TTACAGATTTACGGTATTGAACTTAACCGCAGCCGGGAGCGCCGCTCGCAAGCTTGGGTCACTCCCAGCTATGCTTAAACAGTGTCTCCTCAAGGCGTACATCTCCGGCCGGTCTATGACAACAGCCGCGTCGCCGGGGATGAGCAGACCCTCGGCCCCACTCTTCTCGACGACGGCGACATGCGTCTCGTAGAACCCCGCGCTGTTTCTGAGCATCTCGGGGTGGCGGCAGATATCCAAACACTGGAGGAACCTGACTCCTGTGGAGATGGCCATGGCGACCATGGTACGGCGGTGGAGGTGGGTGTCCTCTACCGACAGCTCGATGACCCGTCCGACGAGCTGGTTGTCGATCCAGTCCATCTGCAGTGATGCTTCCGGTTCGCAGTGGATGTGCCGGATTGCGACATCCTGGTGCGGTGGCTTGTCGATATATGGGGGGTGGGCAAGGTTTAAGACGGTGTGGCCTGGAAACATGGCCGTATGAGGCCACTGTCCTGCGTTTTGTGGGGGGAAGTTGGCAGGCCTGGCCTCGGTCTTTGCTAACACAGAGAGCGAATTTCTTCGTGATTTGGGAATTTCAGGCTCTTGCAGGTGTGGAGGGGACAGTATGCTTTCAGAGCGGGGCCGTCCGGTCGATGCTTGGTAGGGCGGCCTGAGACGAAAGGTTGAAGGCGGATCGAGTAGACTCGGTGAGTCGCTTGTGGTCTGGTCCGGGGGCGGCCTGGGTGCCACTGGCACCGACCTCGCCCGAACCTCGCTGGGGTTTCTCATGTGAGGAGTCAAGTTGGGCCCATCAACTGAAACAAAGAAATGTATGTTAGTCAAGGTGCCTGAAGATATCCAAACCAGTAGGTGCCCCTACTCGTGCCGGAGATGGCCATCGAGTCGTTATGGGAGTCATTGCCCATGTGATTATTGCTTCCACCATCCATGATGTGGAAATTTCGAGTATGTGACCCAGACACGCTGTTGCTTGTTGTGAGGTGGTCGCATCCGTGGCCAATATTGATGACCACACCGATACCAGTGGCAAGGTCGAGGTCTCGGTCGAGGTCTCCCGGGTCAGACTCTCTGTTTCTGGTTACCCGTTCGGCCATATGTAGAGTAAGCGAAATACAATAATGAAAGTCTGCCCTTGTACAACCACAAGACTGGCGTTAAAGTCAGAGACGAAAGATATCTGAGGGAATTGGTACCGTCCAGAGCCCGAAGCCTTGTCGGAATTTAATCGTATCTCAAGTCTTGCGCACACACACACACACACACACACACACACACACACACAAAAAACCAAAAAAAAAAAAAAAAAAAAAAAAAACCGATGCAGCTCAGATGCACATGGACTGCGGTGCTGTATGCCTCGCCAGATGCAGACTTGGGTTACCTAAGTTATTTTTGAAGCCTCTCTAGGTGTCTAAACTTTCTGACTGCACATGTGTCGTCTGAGCCATGAGCTGGTCGATCAAGCCCCATCCGCAGTACCATCTCAAATGCTGATGCCCTCCTCCAGTAATCAGAAATCTGCACGCACTCATCCTCACTCATCCTCATCCATCCTTGCTTTTCTCTGGGCTCTCTCGCACCCATGATTCCCTGAGGCTGCCGTTGGTGGCCTTGCTCGAGTCCTCTCTTGAAAGATTGGAGTCGGTGGGCGCAGCCTGCATCAGAGCGGCACATGGTTGGATACACAACGTAGGACCATTTAGTGTGGTAGTCTCTATCAAGCCCATGCATGTGACCTCGGAAAATGCTTAGAGAAGTGGTCAGCACGAGTTCCTGCTCAAATGATCGGAGTATCTCACCTGGTGTTAAGCGATTCCATTCGCCAAAAGACTCCTTCGTCAAGGAAAGATCTCGTGTATTTGGAATCAAGTGGCTGTCATCAGCCAGAGAAGGAAGTCAAGAGAGTTGCGGAAAATTACACTTCCATCTCTGGAGAAGCATAAATGAGGCTCGGTGTGCCTTGCCACGTCAAGCAGAATCCCGGCCACTGTTCAATGCAGTGACGGATCCCAAGAATGCGACTTCTCTTTTCATAAAGGCAAGGAGCTGACTGTTGCTCCTTTTTGTTTTTTTATGACCGTAACACGAGTCTGTTACTAATCGGGCGGGTGGCTTTAAAATGGCACTGACCAAAATGAAATTGATCAAGCAACGGCTTCGAGCATGGGTCGCAGCCTTGTCCGTCGACATGGCTCCTTACCCAGAGCAACCACACCATCGCTCCCACCGAATGCGGGGTCCTGATAGAAGAGACATTATTCCGTATAAACATACTTCTCGATAAAACCAATAGGATTTCGCAAAGACACTGTGTTCGGAGTCCGAACCATCAGGGTGATCTCAAATATATCTGACCTCCTCTCGCTGCCTGATTCTGGGGCTGAGATCTGACACTTTTGCTTCCCTCGGATTTTAGTTCGCATCTAGGCTCTCGGTTGACTTCTGAGAAGTTGCCTTTCCGGTCACATTCAGTCATCTCAGACACCAGTCTGCCCACCGACAGCAAGGCTTCTTTTGAGGCTGGCCACGCACGCTTCCACGCAAGCTTTCCTCAGCTTCTTCTCTCCTTCCCACTTGAACTTCTCTGGGTGTCCCAGGACCGAAAGAGATTCGACAACGTTATCGAACAGCTGGACTTCTGAGCAATCTCGAGAAGATAAGCGACACCATCCCGGGCAGAAGTGAAATGCCTCAGAGCAATACCTCAAAGCAACGTGCGGGGCCCTCAGCCCGGAGCACTGACGAAAGATCAGAAGAACCTGATCACCGATGTAAGTAATGTATACTTTTATGTCAGCGTCATTTGGACTTCCTTTCCGGCTGCTTTCCCCTCAGAACTAACAAGAGTATCATCGTTTTGTAGTTGCTGGAGTGGGAGAGAACCAGCCCAGAGGACGTCCCCCTCAGGAACACTCGTATCGAAGCCGAGGTGATGCTCGCGTGGTGAACACCCCAAAGCAGTTAAAGCCACATTCGGATTGTACAGATAGTTCCACCCCCCCCCCCTCCCACAAGCCACTGATCAGGGTGGAAATGGTTGCGCACAAACAGGCACATCTGTCGGTCATCAGTTCAACGGCAATGAGGCACGCGACGAGTCTAAGCATTTCCAAGGCAACCTTGGCGCTGGCTCGGAAGGAACCCAACAGCATAATTTTACAAAATGCATCTCACACGATAAAAGCCTCATGGCTTCTGGAAATATAGACCTCCAGAGTCTTGACAGAATGGTTGGGAACGGTACGGCCGACAAGAAGGACTTGTGAAAGAAATCTGATACGGGGCCCGGGGCTAGCTCGAAAGGGGGCGGCAGAAGCGGTCGTGAGAGCCTGGTGAAGCAGAGAGGGCGAAATTTGTTCAAAAATATTGAGAAAACATATCACATGAATGTGCTTCTTTCATGGTATCAAAAGTGTGAATTTGAACGTCAAACGGTGCCAATAGTTAACTTAATCCATAATTCTGTACAGAGAAAGCGGAAACGCCAAACGTAATTCCCAGGTAGTTAGATGGGATGACGTGAGTAAAGAAGTCTTCAACAAGGTTTTGGAAAGCATCTCGAGGATGCAATTCTAGGAGATCAATTTTCATACCGCAATCTCCAAGAAAAACGATTCCGCCAACGACAAATGGTCGTCAGATGATCATTGTTCGATGTTGATGTTGGAACAGAGGTCTTTCGACGCCTTGAGCTGCAGGACGGGCAATCCAAATGTCACTGCTGATTGAAAGTCTCGATTAGTGAATAGCAAATGGTACCTCTGTGAAAGCAGGAGTCTCAGAATGGTGGCAGTAAACGGAACAGCCACTATGGGTGATGGAGCAGAACCGGCCTCGTTTCCTGGGTTGGTGGCAGCTGTGAGTCCCTGGTCGCAGTGTTCCGTGAGCCAAAGGCTGTATTGCTGTCTATGACTAGCTACATTGATAAGAATCTAATACTGAGCTGGAACACCCAGGCGACTCAGCCGAAAACCCTCCCACGGACCTGTTCATAGTGATGAGATCTGTTCACCCTCTGGAAACAACGGACAATACGCTTGAAACGCCCACCGCAACGGCGCAGGGGAGATAAATACCCATGACTTATTGTGACCACAAGGAACAATGTATGTCACACGTGGAAACAATAGAAGATATTATCTGAATGGCCAATTCAGTTGCCGTCCTGTATCCCATGTTCCTATCCGCCTTTCGGCAAGTCTACTGCCATGAAATATATCACTGTCTCCGAAACCACCGCCCAGTTTTACCACCCCTGTCGTCAAGACGCAGGCCGCGCCAGCAACACAGCCAAGCCGCGATCTCATGCCCAACCAGCCGCGACAAACAAACTGCCGAGGATATCGTGCTGGCGAGGCGGTCGACAAAGTGTCTTGCTCGTCAATGCAATGACAAACGAAAGCTCTACTATGCCCTCGGGGGGTCCACGTCCATCCCGCCGCCCGAACCCCCTTCCCCATCCACCGCCCTCATGGCATAAGCAGCCACGGCCCAGACGGCCTTCATGGCCTCGACCCTATCCTCGGGAATGAAGAAGTCAAGCCACCGCGTCCGCCACACCCGGACCGTGCCCCAGTCCCTGCCGTCCGGGGTCGGGGCGCCGTCCAGCACCTGCAGTAGGCGGTCGGGCACCCTGACGCGCAGGACCGAGATGTGGTGGAACAGCGACGAGATGACGAAGACGTCGTCGTGGTCGGCCCCACGCCGTCGCCCCACGGGCGTGTACCTCGTCTTGGGGTCCCAGTGCATCGCGGGCGGCCGCACCATCCTGTACGCGTCGTAGACGGCGAGGCCCTTCCTGGGGCGCTTGGGGTGCGGCGGCTGCTGCTGGCCCGTGAAGGACCGCGACGACGACCTCGGCGGCGGCGGCAGCATGTACTGCCGCGGGCTGATGACGGGGCCCTGGGGCGGAGACGCCACGGCGCCGACGCCGCCGGGGTCACCCTCGGCCGCCACGGACCGCCCCGCGTCCACCGGCCGCTCGTCCTTGTCGCCGAGCAGCACGGCCGACGCATCCTTGGCCTCGAGAGCCTCGGCCTCCTTGCCGATGGGCCCGCCCGGCCCGCCACCCCAGCGCGGCCTCGTCGTCCACCACGCGTCCTTGCCGGGGCGCACCTCCGTGCGGCCCTCACGCGCCCGGTGCTGTGCCGTAATGAGTGCAGCGATCACCTCCCTCGACAGGTCGATGACGGACTCGCGCTCGCGACCGTGCGGCGGGAAGACGGTGGTGTGCCGCGGGCTGACTGCGGCGATGGGGCCCTCAACGATCCCGCGCTTGGCGGACTCACGGTCTGTGGGCATGCGGAAAATGAAGTTGCAGCCGGACGAGAAGTACGAGTGTCGCCGGGGCTGGGCTGGTGACCCGCACTGAGATTGTGCGGCGGGCGATTGGATGTACAGACGTGGCTCTTGCCGTGTCATGACATTACATGTGAAGTCGTAGATGATCAACTTCAGGAAGGACGTGAGCAGCTGGGTTCGATACTGGGCCGGCATGACATTGCCGGCACTTGTGCGATACCAGCCGTAATTCTCGTCGCCGCCTTCTGGAGGCTTGTCTCCCGTTGGATCCGCGGGTTTCGGTTTCGAGGTGTCATCCCAGAAACCAGTCAGAGACTCGAGGTGACGGAAGAACTCGTGACAGTAACCAAGCCTCACATACTGCTCACCAGGCTTGGGCGCGACCCTCCTTACAGCCCGGAAGGCCCTCTCGTTGTCAGTAGCCAGACTCTGCCGGAGATCGACATACTTGGACGGCCCGGACGCCAGTCTTCCATTTTCCAGCTTTGGACGGGACTCGGAGTCACAAATGTGTGCCTCTTCACGAGACAGGGTGTCCCACCTATCAAAGTCTGGCAGGCACGAAAGGTCTGGCACGAGCTCTGTGAGTGGCACGTCTGCGGTCACATCGACACCGAGGGCCTCAAGATGGGCCACGTCAACCTGATCGGGCGGGCGTACCAGGCTCTGCAGGATGGACGTCAGATGGGGTGCCGGCGCACCTGCCGAGTCCCTGGGCGCACCTGATCGGCCCTCGGACGCCCTTGGCCGGCATTGCGGAAGGTCAATGGGCGTGGGTGCTGGAACATCCTTGGGTGGGCCCTCGGCCGGCGGAGGCACCGGGGGAACTGAGGGTGACTCGGTCAGCCGGAACAGAATGACTGCGGCATGGCAGCAAGACGAAGGGCGAGTGAGGTGGCAAAGAGACGTGAGTGAGGCAGGCGAGTGATGCAGACAAGAAACAGCAGTCTAAGGCTCCCGGGGCTGGGGTGTGGCATGGTGCAGGGTCGATCATACAGTGTCAAGCAAGACAAGAGGTTGAAACTCCCGAGCCGCTACACTACCGTCGAGCTTGACGAGCGTGATCTGGCAGCGGCGAGATGCTTGACTTTTCGGATGCAGCTGTGACCAGCGGATCTCAATGCATTGTGCGGCGTGCCTGGCGCTTGGTGCTTCCATCCTCGACATGTAGTTCGTCTGAACACGGGCAAGGTAGGGACGACAGCGTGGTGACAGGCTGTGACGTCTTGGCCGGTGAACTATACCATGCACCTGTCATACCGTATCAAAACATACAATGTATGCCCAGGTACGAGGTAGTCCAGGCAGGGAGGGAGGGCGGAGGTGGATAAAAGACAATTAAGGCTGGAGGCTAGAACTTACTGATGTGTGAGAGGCTGCCAAACATGATGTTCTGTTTGGCCTTCCCTAAACGAGTACGGGATCGGAGGGACAGCCGGGTTGGAGAGGGGGACAAGAGGCAATTCGAGGCCAAAGCTAACTTAGACCCGGTGTCAATGGGGTGCAGGCTCCTAGTAGGGCGCGTTCATGGGCTGAGATGGTTGGAGGATATGATCGGCAAGATCAGCCCGACTCAAACACGGTGCTGGCCTTGTCCGATGGTAGAGGGAGTTGGTCAGTGGCCTGTCTCGTCGACAGTCACGCTGATCAGACCAAGCAAGGTCTACCGATGGAGAGAGAGAGAGGGGCAGTGAGAGGCAAAGAGATATGTCGGTGGTGGTGATGATGATGATGATGATGATGATGATGATGATGATGATGATGATGATGATGATGATGATGGACGGCAGCTCGACGTGAGGCAGTCGCGATGGGTGGGATCACTCGAGTTGTCGACCGGCTGTCGATCGTCTTCCTCACTGCAGGTCGTGGCCTCGGTCAAGCCATCACCCAACTCAGCTGCCAAAAGAGAGCCTCACGAAAAGACGATGGCGGTAGACGCGTGTGAGCTGTAGCCTCTGCTGTGGTGAGCGTGACGCAGCAATACGGGAATGCGGCAAGGCAAGGCAAGGCAAGGCAAGGCAAGGCAAGGCAGTGACTGAATGCGACACATTGGCTTGCTGTGTGTTGCGTCAACCTGCACCTGCACCTGCACCTACAGGGAGCTCAATAGGCGCCCGTCTCGAACCCCCTGCCATTCTCCTAGGACATGGCTGCATGGGCTGGCAGGCGGGAGCTGGCTTGGGATGTCGAGGTGTCTTCGAACCTAGGTCATCACCTACCTAATGGTAGCAATTATCGAGCGTAAGGTTTTCACCCAATGTCAACTATCGTCAAGGCAGGTCTTAAAAGAAGGAAAGTCAGGGTGCCTTGCACTCAATCACAATTTATGCGGTTCGTCCTTGTTGCAGGATTCTTGACTCAATCGTATCCGATTCCGAACCCGAACCCTCCCTCAGTTGTGATCACAGATATCAGCAAGGGGGAAGAGGGTGTGGAGGGCTGAGGGAGCGGTAGGGTGTCACCTGCCGATGCTTCTTGCAAGAGCAAGCATTGACCAGGCGAGGCCTTATCATCTTCAACCGCGCGTATGTAGCACTCAAGATCTGAGCGCCGATAAGGTTGTCCATGCGGAGTGGGTGCGGTGGTGCGTAACAAGCTTACCAGCGACACGGTACCTGCACCAGCGCAGCAGCAGACGTGACTGACAAACTGACGATTTGAGCCCGGGCGCGGGGAAGGAAACGAACTCAACCTTGACGGGGACTTTTGCCGGTTGACAGGCGCGCAGCTGAGACTCGGAAGGCCCTGGGATTTGCTCCGATCGGTGTGATGTGCAGTGGATCCTGGGGCCCGGAAACCGCTTGATCTCTCGGTTCCTCGGTCGGAAACACAACGTCACCGTCATTGCTGGCCACGGGATTCGCTGCCTGTCGTGCTTCTACTACACGGCCTGGCTGCGAACCGTGGTGATGGTCTCATCCCACCACAGCGCAGCACCATCTGCGGCAGCCCGTGGCCGGCGAATGATCGCCCACGCCGAAGGCCACCTCGATCCTTGGGCCTTGGCACCCGACGACCGTTGACCAGTTCCATCTCATCCATCATCAGTCTCAGTCTGTCGGTTCTGGACAAGTGATCGAGTCGTCTTCAGATGCTCCTGATTCGACCGCGACGGCGGCGAGGCACTAGTTCTCTGCGTGTCAAGTCCGGATGACTGACGGGTGAGCGACGGGGCTGGCCATTAGGGCCTTTTTTCTTTCCATGATCTGCGGCGAGAACGGACACTTGGGCGAGTGAGAGGCACCCAGCCGTCTGATTTTGGCTCTGCCCCCTGGAAACCCTCCCATCTTTTGAGGCTGTAGCCCTGAGGGTCAAGAGGGGGTCATGAGGGAAGGGGGGCGTTGGCATTGGCGGGAGAAGGCGAGCTGCGTCTAGTGCGTAACACGTCGCGTGTCAACCCAAGTCGGCGTCGTCGAGCAGAGGATCGGATGGGGGTTATAGCGTGAGGACCCTGGGGCTGATCAGTCCTCTTCCAGACTGGAAATAGCTCAAGGGCCTGTGTTTATGTGTCGGCTGAGACGCCGACCTGGCCAACAGCAGAGTTGGCGACGTTTTGTTTATCACAACTCTAGTCCAGGACGAGGCGGTACGCACAGTCCAGATATGTAAGGAGAGAGCAGTACAAAACCCAAATCCCACGGAGACGGCCCCGGCTTGGTGAGCGGGTTGTTTGGGGACGAAGCAGACCTCGTGCCGGCTTCACTGCCTTTACGAGGACGTTGAATGGCCGGTGTGTGGTCTGGGTGGAGGGCGTCCGTTGCCGTCGCCGTCGCCGACGGCCCACATAAAGGTGGTGCTTTCGGCCCTGACCCAATCGCAGAGGGGGCGGTACCGTGCTAGCCTAGAAGAGGCGGCTGAAACCTAAAACATCATCCACGTCGTGCCCGCCTGTTTCATGGGGAAGCGCCGCTCCCTGCACTGCAATACGCGGGATGCAGTACGACATGGTAGTGCTGTGTAAAGAGACATGTGTGTGTGTATGTGTGTGTATTGCGTGTTGTGTATTGTACTGTATCATCATACCATGCTGCCAGGCGGAGGGCGAGACGCCTCACACGTCCTGACGAAGCATCTCTCGGTGAGATGGGATGGGACAGCGAGCGTGAGCTTGAGCCTTGCTACCGGTATTTTAGTTTTCGCACGATGACTTACATCAACGTCGACAGCCACATGCATAGCACCAGCACCAGCACCAGCACCAGCACCAGCACAGCCTCGTCAAACCATGGCGTGAGTGAGTGAGTAAAAGGACTCAGGGATTGCGTCAACGAACCCAGCACGCAAACCTGAGGTCCTGGCACACCCTGTCGCCGGGAATCTGTGCAGTGCTGCATATACTGCATAGCAGACTACTGTGTAGACTAGATGCTCTCGACGATGCACCAACCTTGGAGGATATTGTGGAGCGCGGCAGAGAGGCAGCGACTATGCAGGCACAGGCGCAAGTACAGTGGACTACTGTGCCGTGCCCAGGTTTAAGGTAGCCTGCCCCTGGCTTGGATGCTGCAAAACGTGTCGCAGGACAGGGGTGACAGCATCAAAGCGCCATTCCATCAACGGCGCCAAGGTGCAGGGTGTATGTGTGCGTGAGTGTGTGCGCGCGACAGGGACCCCTGGCATTACTGCTGTGGCTTTTGGTGTGTGCGTCTCTCTCTGTGCTGGTGTGAGGTGCAGCTTGGGAAGGTGGAGGCTGTGAGGCTCACCACCAGGGACAGAAGGCACGACGCATCGGGACGGAAAACTGACAAGGGCACGCACCACCTCCTCGTCGTGAGCCAATCCCAGCCTCGTCCACTTCTACTTCAAACACCACCGTCGCTAGTCTCGCTCAACGTAGTCAACGCCGCCGCCCCCAGGGAGCCCACCATGACTCCACGCCCGACGACATCGCGCCGCCCGCTGCCCGCCCCCCCCTTGCCGTGTCCCACCACATCACTTGCCCTTTCCTCTCCCAACCCATGCCTCATGCCCCGACCCCGACCCGGCGGATCCACCTCTCTTGTTTCGACGATGCCCATGCCGCGGTTCTGCCATGCTCCTCTTTGCTCGGCACCGGATGTTCAACTCCAAGGATCCCAGAGGAACCAGAGGAACCAGAGGAACCAGAGGAACCAGAGGAACCAGAGAGGAAACCCAGGGAACCCTCCGCCTGTGACTGTGTGACACCTCAGTCTCCCACCACCTTCCCCTTCGTCCGTTTTTTTCTTCCCTCCTGTTCCTTGTCTGCTATGCCAGCCCTGCCTCTCCCTGCCCTGTCGCAGGTTTCCCTCCATGGTTTGATCTGAATCTGCTCTTTCTCAAACATCTGGCGCCCGAATTCGCGTCTGCCCGTCCAACAAAACCACTCACCACCCTCGCCGTCTTGGTGCCGCACTTGTCTGCCTGTCTCGTCAGCCTCTCCCGTGCCCGTTGCACACCCAGAACAGCGACGACGACATCAAATACGACACCCACTTTTCTCGACGGTCCGCACCATCACCTGGATGAATCTGAACCGACTTTGATGGCCCAAGAGGCCTGCGTCTTCACTTCTTTTACCCCCCTTTGAGAGGGGGTTGTCTCCTGTTGTACAGTGAGAAGTTTACTTTTGAGCGGATTTTGCGACTGGAATCGCCCATCATAGACGCCCACACACGGGGCTCACGGATATCATCATCATGTCGACGAGTCCCAACTTCCCCACCGAGGGTACATTTGTTACGACGCTCAACGGGAAGAGGTGTACGGCTGTGCCGAGATCTGCCAGCACCCAGGCCAGCCCCCCGCCGGCGAGCACCACAAGTACGAGCTCGTCTTCATCGTCTTCGTCAAGCTCGTCGTCTTCGTCCTCGTCTTCTTCGTCGAGTTCGCCGCTACCTGTAGTAGCTACACCACCTCCAGCCTCACAGCCGCAAGTGCTTGTGCCGCCACCTCAGGTAGAGCCGACGACCGCTGCCCCGGCCATCGTCGCGCCGCCTCCTGCCGTGGCCACACCCTCAACGTCAATACCACAGTTCCCTCCTCCCGTCAGCTCCAGCTCTTCTAGCTCTGTCACTATAGAATCAATACCTTCGGTAGCGGTTGCGCCACAACCCCAGGCTAGTGTAGCTGACACCAGCGTCCCAGCGGTTCCGACCTCTGTGTCGACCTCGATAGCAGCGGTGCCGACCTCACTATCAGCAGTTCCCACCCCGTCGGTGGCTGATCCTGCTGTCGCCCCACCGCCGCAGAGCGAGCTCGCTTCATCCGACACCGCGTCATCTGCGGCGCCTTTGACGACGATAGGTGCTGGGGCTGGGACGCCAGCAAACAATCCACAGGCGCCAGACGCTGCGGAGAGCACGTCCGGGGTGAATGTGGTCCCGGTTGGCGGAAGCGGCGGTGGACCTAGCCGCAGTGGCTCTGGCTCGACTATCGCCGTGGCAGGGGGCGTGGTCGGTGGTGTAGCGGTCATCAGCTTGGTTGCCTTTTTGATATGGTTCTGGAGACGGCGGATGCTGAGGAAGCGGCGGAGCACGCTACTCACACCACTGTCCGCTGATCCAGGATTCGGAAGGGACCGACAGGGAGGATATCTAATTGAGCGTGACAGCATTGGGCCTACCCCCCGGTCCACCAAGGTCAAGGTCGCCCTGAGGGCGCAATACAGCCGTGTCCGCGGCCGCATCGCGCGTAGTGGCAGCATTCGCAGCATCTCCAGCACAAACAGCGGGCGCAGTGTTGATATGAACAGGGGCAACTCTCAGTTCATGGACTCTTCACCTGTTGTCGACAGAGGGAGGAAGAACTCGTCGGCTCTGCCACCAAACGACGAGGACAACCAATCCTTCAAGGACCGTATTACGGCCATCTGGTCCAAACTCACGGGGCCTCAGATGCGTGACCCAGGATGGAACGAGAATAAGAACGACATATTCGCTGCCCGCGGGCTTGGTGGTAGTATGAAGGAGAAGGAAAACCCAAGGACCAGGCCAGTAACCAACAAGCCCGATTTCCTCACCCTACTCAACATGGACGACAACGAATTGGATCGAGAGGCCCAGAGACGCCGAATGTCACGGACACGCGGTGGCAGCGACTCCTCCGTGCTGGGAGGCCTGAACCTGAATTTCGGCCAGGATCCCTTCAGCGACGTGAACGCCATAACCAGCAACAGTGCCAAACCTGCTCCGTTCCTCGTCTCAGGTGCCAACAACCCCTTCTCTGACGCAAATGCAATCCCAGGACCGGCCGATGTCCCTCAACCGTCCTCGTACGTTGCCGACATCCGCCGCTCGAGGGGCCAGTCCGTGGGCACCACGATCGACTTGAACCAGGTCATGGACCTGAGGGTGGTCAACGGGGTCTCCCGGCCACCCAGTGGAGCGACCACACGGCCAGGTGGCTACGAATCGACAATGTACATGCGCGAGAGCGCAGCGAGCTTCGAAAGCTTTAACACCAGGCGCAATAAGTTCCGGTCCGACCCCTTCGACCTGGAGCCGCTGTCGCAGGGCTCGAGCACCTTCGACCGGTCTGCCGTGGCGTCGAGCACGTTCTCCACCGTTGGCAGTAGCAGCGGCGGGGGGCGATTTGACAGCACCAGCGGCAGCATCCCGATCGGACACCATCAGTCGGGCGTCGGCTTGGGCGGCAGATCCGCGGCCGGGGGCGACGTCATTCGGAAGCCAGTGCCCGCCGCTCACGCAAGGGAGAACAGCCTAGGCAGCTCCAAGTACACCAGCGGCGTCAGCGAGGGCAGCATGGACGACTGGAGCGACCCGGGTCCGGACGTGGGGCCACGGGCCGTCCACACTGGGAACAACCGCAGGACGAGCCAGGGCAGCGTGAGGATGGGCTATGCTTTATGATGATTCCCTACCTATTACTACTACCACGTCTACTATACCACTACTATTCTTCCTCTTTTGTCTTTTGATATCCAACCACCTCACCCACGTACATCTACGAGACACATGACCAACTACCAACAAACAAAATTCCTGTACATAGCACACATACCGCCACCGCCGGAGGCGGCTGGGCAAACGGCGGACGGAAGGAAAGGAAAAGGCGACGATTGACGCAGGCCGGCGTTCGGTTCTTCCGAGGCAAGCCTCGAACCGCGGGGAAGACAGGCTGGAGGGTGGCTTGTCAAGAAAGAGACCCCAGCTATGGGACCCCAGCTATGGGAGGTGCCGGGTCCCTCAGCAAGAGCGAGTCCGAAGTACGTACATGTATCGATAAGTGGAACCTGTATATACATACCTACTCCAACCCAGCGCGTACAAAACACAAAAAAATCATACGAGCTCAGCAAGGAGTGGCGAGGACGGGTGCTCGGGCCCTTGAGACTGGTGTGGGATTGAAATCAATAATGTTACTGCCCCGACGAGAAAACGTGTTCCTCAGATTGTTTCCTCTCGTGATACCTTGCTGCCTGATGAGTTTACGCGCACAAGTTTTTGTCCACAGCCAAGATGACGGCCAAGGAGCGGTATAGCCGAACAAGAACTAACGTTCTTGAATTACCAGCGCAAACGATACGTTAGGCTCAACTGTCAATAGGTACAATATCAGTCTCCACGCACAAGTCGTTACCGACACTTGAAACAAAACACATATGTCAAATTTCTCCCATCACAGAGCACACGGCCGCGAGATCCAAAGTCCGGGCAAGCCGGAGAGGCATTACATTCATCCATCTATGTCTCGCTCATGCTCAACACGCTATGTCTACAACCACCTCTGCAGTAGGCTCACCGCTCGCAGTCATTAGGTTCATCAACGTCCCCTGACCAGCTCGTTCTATAGACCAAAAACAGACAACAATAACGAACGCGTTTCACATCCAAGAGGGGTATCATGCCGGCCCAATCACTCGTGTATACCCCGGGCCCTCGTCTGCTCCCCGGTCCCCTGTCAATCATCATCATCCCTTGTAAATGCTGTCAACGGTCGGTTTGGTATAAATTGGGTATCATGGGCGATCAGACTCCAAAAGTGAAGGAAAGGAGAAGAAAAGAAAGGAGGAAAATTCAAAAACTCCGCGCACTTGGGTGGTGCGAGATGAATGCGGCTAGCCCTCGTTCGTGGTGAGTAGAGGGTCCATTACCCCAACACCAGATGGCGGTCAAATCATGTTCTTGACAGTCAAGCCGAATAGTATTTCCGAGCGGTCCTCGGCTTGCCGGCCTCCTTCCGCCCAGCCCAGCCCTTGATGGCGATGAGGATGATCTCCCACGCCATGAAGACGCCGATCAGGCCCATGGTCACGGTGTACATGAACATGGCGTCCAGGTTCTGGTTGATCATGCCCAGGACGGTGTCGCCGCTCGAGGCCATGAAGATGATGCCGCCCGCCATCAGGCCGAAGCTGGTGAGGAGCTCCGTGGGCGGCCGCGAGGGCAGGATCGATGTGGGCGGCTTGAGGTACGTGAGGATGTACGAGAAGCCGCGGGCGAAGGAGGCGCCCGTCAGGAGGTTGCCCCATTGCTTGTGCACCATGGAGCTGATCATGGTCTGCTGCGTGTGGCTGGACATCATGATGCCCAGGAGCAGGATCACGAGGGCCGGGATTGGATTCATGGAGAAGTTGTAGGTGCGCGGCTCCTCGAGGGCCGTCTCGCGTTCGTCTTCATCGTACGATTCCTGCGCTGCCTCGGCGACGGTGGTGTTCAGCAGGTCGCGGACGCTTATGGACTCGATCAACATGCCACACTGGAGACAAGCGGTTAGCGTCGCCCGCGTTGGTGCAGTAGCGCGTGCCGGGTAGGGCGATGAGGCTCCGGGGAGGGACGACTACTTACCAGACCACCCCCGATGAAAAGCACGGTGATTGAGATGTGCTCGAGGTCCTCGAAGCTCCACTCGCCGCCCCAACGGCCCAGGTGTTCCAGGAATATGTTGGTTGCGCCGTAGGTGAAGATGAGAGCGCTCTCGACGAACTCAGCGGATGGTGTCCATCGGCCGCTGGCAGACTTTGGTTTCACGTTCCATGCCTGTACCACGTCCCGCGGCGTCAGTATTCCGTTGCGACACACAAACATGGCGCTGCCTGTCGGTTCCAGCAATAGGACTGAAGACTTACCCATCCAAGCTCACCGAAACTGCCGCACCATCTTCCAAGAGTGAAGATGCCGAGCCAGAAGAAAATGCCGCCCTTGATCCAGTGCGCGAGGCCCGTGAAGATCATGCTGCCTTCGAAGAGCCGGCCATATGTAATAACTCCGGTGCACAGCGCCACAAATCCCAGGATCATGCTCGTGCGATCAACAACGTTGTAGCCAAGGATCAGCACGCGCCACGCGCGCGACGAGATCTTGCTGCCGATCTTGGTCGCGAAGTTGCGGATCGCACCACCTCGCCGCGCAGCTGGGAGGTCAGCATCTGCCTCGAGATCCTCGTCGTCGTCGTGGAAAGTCTTGTGCGCCGTCTCGGCACTGGGGCTAGCCAGCGTGTCAGGGGTCGACGAGAAGGAGGGGCTCCTCAGCGAGTCGGGCCGGGACGCTGTGCCGTGCCCGCTATCGTCCGAATGGCGGTGCAAGGCGCTGTACGGCGAGCTATGCAGCCGGTGGTGCTCCTCCATGGCAGCTCGCGAGACGGGGAGGAAGCCCTGGCGCTCCGCGTTGTTGAGCGCACTGTCGGTCTTCTTGCTGAATGCGCCTGTGAGGCGGCCCAGCAGGCTGACCAAGACCTGCGCCGAGAGGACCCACGTCGCAACCCAGCCCAGCTTATGGTGCGCATTGTTGGGGTATAGATCGGGGGTTTTGGCGTTGTAGATGGTGCTGAACAGGACGCCGAGAGCATTGACCGCGAGGAAGGCGAACTGCGTGGGAAGCGTGTACCGTGATCGCGCGAGGGAGAACATGGTCGCTGTCGCAAATGGGTCAGCAGGAAACCTTGCGCGAAGGCGTACTCGAGCGAGACTCACCCAAAGGCAGCACGAAGACCCAGCCCAGTACCATCAGCGCAATGTGCGCGACAAGAGTGCCCCTGTATTCCGGATGGCTGAAGTAGTTGGGCGGATATTCCTGAGCGTCATTGTCGGGCTGCTGGGCGCTCATATCCATGGCTCCGTCCATGTCCCCGTCCACGCTCATGCCCTCATCTCCATGCGCCAGCACGGCCGGGAGCAGGGCTCCCAGCACCGCAGCTGTTGCGAGCAGACGGAGGGCTGGTCTCGTGGCCGATCGCATCCGGGCTGGTTGCGGAGGTGACTCTGCGACAAGCAGGAAGCTTGTTAACTGGGACTGATGGGCGCTATATTCACGACGGTGTGCACAGGAGGAGCAAGAGTTGGAAGGTTGGAACTACTGTCTTGATGGTGTCGGTGTGCGCGACCGGGCCTCAGCTCGGGAGCAAAGCCTATGGTATGTATGCTGGGTATAAGTAGCTTGGGAAGGGGGTGGGGACGGGATCGAGGTGTAGGGACGGGCTCTCGAGGCTGGGGCAGATATGACATGGGACGGCCAGGCGAGGTGAGGCCAGGCGAGGCGGGCGCGTGTTATATTGTTCGGACTGGGCCCGTTCGTGGTCATGGTGGATGGGGCGGCAGGTGGCACCTGCCGAGAGCAGTCGTGGGCAGAATGGAGCACAGTACTTCCATGACTGGGGGCCAGGCCAAGCGGCGGCCGGATTGGTAATGGGAAACAGCCAGAGAGAATCAATCGGAATCTGGAGGGCTGCCCGTAGAAGCCATTTCGGTCTGAACAGGCCCAGTTTATTCCCGACTGCAGTGAGCGGTGGGATCGGAACCAGCCCACGATCACAGTACTCAAGTACCACCCTCAACTGCACCGACCCCATCCCTCTTGGAGAGCTTGACCAGTGCCGGCTGGAAATACTGACCTAGGTCTCACAGCATGCTGACGCTTGGCCTCCTTGCGCTCCTGAGGTTCATTGCGCCTTCCTTGGGCAGAGGCCAAGATCCGAGGCTGCCGAGGCGGCGCGACTGGGCAATTAGTTTGGCTGGGTGAAAGAAACCAACGGTCGGCCGTCCAGCTAGCAGCTAGCAGCTAGGGAGCTGTAGCTCCCCCCAAGGCTGGGCAAGGCTCAACAATCGCACACTGTGTGAAGACTGTGCGGGGTCATGAGGTACCCATGTATCCCTGCGCCCAGGTACCGAAGGTGGGCCAAAGTTGACCGGCTTCGTCGAGCTCTCGTTCTCGACAACCTCGTCCTCGTCCTCGTCCTCGCGTTTTTTTGTTCCCGCCCTCGCTGCCGCCGTGCTCTTCCTCCTCCGGTCCATCCGCAAACTCCGGCCCAGTCACACACCAACTTCAATCACATGCCACCCTGCCACATCGCCAACGTGGTCTTGGACCAGACTATTGCAGCAAAGTCGATGGGCCAGCCCAAATAATATCAAGTGCTGACTCACGCTTCTCCCACCATAACGGCCAGTGGTAGATAATCAACCACAACCACATGCATAAGAACAAGACGATCGGCCCATGAGTCACAGTAGTGTGTTGTCGCCATACACTACCGACTTACACGTACACGCATGCAACAGAAGGCATCCCGGAGTTGGGTTTGGTCAGCCCGGGGTTTTTGCTGGGCGCCACGGAGTAGACCCCACGCGATGACCAGGAATCCGTCTCCATGTTTGTCTTGTCAGCTGAACTTGTTGCAGCCAGAGCGTCCTGAGCATCCTGAGGATTCGTGTACGGTGCGGCGCGGGCGCAATCCCTCAATCCAACAAGGACGGGACGCCGGGTTTCAGCTTCGACCTTTGCCCAACTGCCTTGCTGCCCCTGGCGAGCGCCCCCGTTTCGTTTCGCCTCAAGCTTGCGTCGAGACGCGACACAGGTGGCCGCACCTCTGACCAAATACCGAGCTGCCTCGTACGATCTCGCTGCCCCAGCCGAGCGCAGGTGGTGGCTAGCCAGTGTTGGCATCGGCCTTGGGCTGCTGCGATCGTCGATTTTGCGGTGCCGGGCAGTTTATTACCCACGGGGCTCGACTAGTGTCGCGACGTCACTCCGGAGCCCGCAACCCTTGTCACAGTGTCAGAATCTGCCGGCATCTACGGAGCCTCACTTTCTCACGATTGCGATAAGGAGCCGTGCACTACCCCATGGTTGGGCGCCCCGGCCGCTAACAAAAGCCGTCAGCTACGCCCATCCTGCAACAAAGTACTAGGCAGACTACATGGCATGTATGGCGGTCCAGCCACCGAGTCCATGCCAGCGCCATGAGCGTTGGGTTAAATCTGGTAACGGCTGTGCTAAACACTCAAGAATCAACGGGTGGTGAGACCGATGTCGCTAACGTTGAAAACGATCGCGAACCCCATACCGATCTGTCAGATTCTGCCCTCCTGGTGGTCTTGATCCCTGACTACAAAATGTTGCAGGTGGGTCCTAACCGAACCCACGAAGTCTGGCACGCCTAGCTCGGACATGTCGGGACCCAACGTGGCCGCTGCCAGATTTTGACCATCCGGTTGCCATGAACGACATAGTCTGATCCACACCACAGCAAGTGTGCTGTGTAAGTCTGCCGCCCGGCTTCTGGTTGTGGGGCTCTCCAGACTCGGGCTTCGGGCGGGACAGGCGGACAGGCGCTCATGTTGTCTGGTGCCATGGTAAGCCGGCGCGAAGGGTCGCTTCCCTGCCCGTCTGACCTGACATCTGCAGGGTGATCATGCTATCATCCGCCCACCTTGATGCATGCAGGGTGAGGATTGCATGGGAGTTTCTTGTCCGAGTGTGCCGTGAAATGTTCTGCCTTCGCCCATCCATCCATACGTCGGGCTCGCTTGCTACCGCAATGCCGGCGCGGACCACTGCTGGTACCGGTACCCACCAATTAACCGCGCAGGCTTCTCTTGGCCGGGCTCGGTCTATCGTGGCAGATCAGCCACACCGTCGCCCTCGGGGTGCAATGGATGGTCGATTCCCCGACATCATTCCACCAGCCGGAGAATCCAAAACCACAAAGTTCCGCCCGAAATCCCTCCGCGGCCAAGAAACGTCAAGAGAATGGACTGGTCCGAGCTGGGCCATTGCAGCAGCTTTCGGCTATTTTCTTCTGCTCGTGGTTATCAAACTCCGAATAGGCGGGCCCGCACTTATGACCCCGGCCACCAGAATCAGATCAATCTTGAGGTGTCTGACGTCCGCGGCATCACTAATCCCTCAGCGCTTCTCCAAAGTAGACATGGCACCCCAGGCCGGACGGTCACCGCTTCCTGCCGGAACGCCGGCGGACGATTGTATCCACTTTTCCCGTGAGATCACCGATTCTTGTTTTGATGACGAAGAGGTTGGTATTGCATGATCCTTGATGATGAAGTAAAGGGCCTCGCTGCTCTTCATAGAGTCTGTTCTAGAACCGGCCTGCGAAGGCAAAATAAGTAAAAATTGACACCCTTATGGCGTGGCAGTCTTAGTGACATGGGGATTACGCACATACTGCACCTCTGTGACTGTGGAATCCGATGCCCAGTCGCTTAAGCGCTCCATGTCTATCTTTAGCCATGTTGATGAATCGTTCTCTGGAGGCTCAAAACAGTCAGGATGTGCAAAAGTCCGCTGGACATTACGGAGAATTGGATCAACCCCGACACATTCGCTTCTTTGTTCCTGTGTGCGCGTCGCATCGTTGCCTGTCCGCGTCACCATTCTGAACGAATCCCAGAGCTGTTTTTCCGTTCTCAGAATATCTCAGAAAAGACGGGTAGCAAACAGGCGGTTTCTTTGTTCACAGCCAGATCATGTTTCCAATTTCGGATGAACTGCACATACATCTGTTGCTCACGTTTGCGCAGGTGATACTTCTTTCACTTCTGGAATCGAACTCTCCGGAACAAAACTGGTTGCCTTTTTAATCTCGTTCTTTTGTCTTTTTTTTCTCTCCCAGCCTTGCTATGGAGGCAGTTGCTGCCGGATCGCAAGTGCGACTCACGCTCCACCTAGGTATCTCAGAACGGCCCAAAAGTCCGTCTGCTTGCGCTCTAGGCACTCTATCACTGAAGTATCTAGTCACTTTCAATGAGGCAGAGACAATTTACACGCGAGAGGCGGCGTGTTAATGCACAAAAAGACGTCGGTGCACTTCGCTGAACAGAAGGCGTTGGTGTCTTGCTCTGCAACAGACCTACCCGAACAGGGCATCCGACTGTTCGCTTGCGTTCAGTAGTTTGTACCAGTCGTATCAGGATATCGTCTAGTGGTCTGGTATCAAGCCGCACTCATTGAGCTGATCGAGGACAAGCCCGCACGGCGGAATCAACCTCGAGACGTAAATCTCAGCATGTGCCTTACTGGAGCGGACAGTACGGAAAGTGAAATCCCGAGACACAACGTCGAGAAGCTGCAACACGGTGCGGTGATGTTGATCCCAACTGATCAAGCCCTTGGCCGTAATTAGGAATTATTGCCTATGGTTCAAATATGTCGATGCAGCATTGATGCCAGAAATCCTGGGTGACATCAGCGTAGGAAGACACCAACTTGAATTTCTGGTTCATGAGAATAAGACAATGTCTCTCTGACAATAGGCTTCGGCGAAAGTGGCCCGCCCCGCGAGCTCAAATTTCCAGCTGTGTTTATTGATAGCCTAGGTATGGTGACCGTCATTTCTGTTCCATCTGAGAGATCATTATTGGAGGAGAAGGCTTTTGTCCAAGTGGCTCAGGTCGTGCGATGGTCCTTCTGCCCTTGTGGGCAAGTTGGAGGTGGACAGCCAAATTCGATTCTCGTCTCTGGTAGGGCTGGTTTTCGTTTGTCTTTCCCGTTCCTATCCTGTCTTCACACTGGACCCCTCTCCATGCGGCCTCTGTATCATAATTTTCTGCGAAAACAAGATGTCCACTTCTTAGTTGCACAGCATCGAGTCGTGCAAGGCGATATGTGTCCTCAAACGCCCAGTGGCCATAGCTGAGGATATCACTCACTGCTTCTGCTCCAGAGATCATGCGCACGAGCACAGGCTGTCTCTCGTGTAAGATCGCCCGAAGACACGGCTGGACCCAACTAGGTACTTAATGGCAACTCGTGATTGGTGAGTGGGGTCGGTGGAGGGCATTAAGAATGGCAAATAGCAAGAGCGCAGGAGCAAGGAAGTCAGCTTGAGGTGGCTGACCGGTCCCTTATTCAATGTCTCAGACTTGCCGCCCAAACGAATCGGTGAGATGGAAGATAAACAGACTTCCAATTTTGAACACAGCGTTTTGTCCATGTCATAAAGCGTTGCGCTTCAAGAGACGTGGCAGAGAAGCAGCCTGCGTACCAGTTAGACATGAAAGGGCCAGAAATACCTGGGTAGGTCGTCATACCAGTCTCCCGGATGCGTCGAGCCCTCGAGCAACCTAGCTGCCTCCGCTGGTGGGACCAAATTCCACTTGTGCATAATTTCTTTGAGCTGCCCCAAGAGGCACTTACGTCTAGGAGCCGGGTAGAGCTCCGAGCTGGCGAAGAGCGCCAGCGGCCATGTCAGATGCCGCGCCACCATTGCTAGGTCCGCACCCCCGCGTGCGGCTTCCAGCATGTCCGGCACCATGGCCAGGATCTCAGCGGCTACCTGTTTGTTGTTTCGGCGGCCGTCGTCGCGGATCGCAAGGACCCTGTCGACGAGCTCGGGGCTGTCGCTTTCGAAGTCCTGCGACTGGAGCTTGTGGTTCAAGAATAAGCGCACTATACGCATCGTGATCCACGACCTGGCGGCACGGGCATATTCAGACCCAGGGCCAGGGCGTAGAAGAGGCGCCGCCGCCCTCGAAGCGATGCCTGCATCGAGCTCCATCGTCCGCCGCACAGCTTCCAAGTTATGGCCAAGGCCCTTGTTAAGGTTCTCCAGGAGCCTCAACTTGATGATGTGGTCCAACAAACCGTCAATTCTGAACTCTGCGGCTTCCGTTTCTTCTCTCCTGAAATCCTCATCCTTGAACTGGACCAGATCGGCGCGCAGGACGCCGGAGACCCGAACTTGCCGGGCCGCGAGGCGGTCAAGCTCTCGTCCTGAAGAGGAGCAGCTTGTCCGCCGCTGCCGTCTTCGCAGACGGAGCAGCGCTTGGGTGCCCCGGGCATGGGCGAGCCAAGCTGTGCCGGAGGAGGGGCCACGGAGGCTCAGGGACTCGAAGAGGGCAAGGAGAAGCACGGCGAGGAGGGTCATGTCGGCGGCTGCAGTGCTGGGGTCTGCGAGCGAGGCATTTGTGTGGGAGAGGGCGGTGCCGTACATCACAGATGTGGTGCGCATTAAAGTAGGCGAGAGATGGTGGGAGCGTCATGGAAAGATAAGCCAAAGAGGTGGCGCGGAGTGCGTCGAGAGCTGGCTTCGTGAGCTTGAGGGAGGGATGGGAGAGGACGCAAGACAGATTTGATATCGGTGCGTAGTGGCTTAGGAAGAAGGCTGCCGCAGTATCTTCGATGGCCTCAGGGATAGGATAAGATAGGACAGGCTTGAGAGTGTCCACATCACAGTGTTGTTGCATGGTGGTGGTGGCGGCGCCCCCATTATTGCATGTCGACGAGTCTGCATTTCGGTCGCCAGATTCTTCACCAGGCCGAACAGAAACCGGCAGCAACGGCAAGGAGCTTGATCTCGCCGCAGCTGTAGGTCCCGAAGAAGGAGCCCCTGGAGAGCAGGTCTTGAGCAATGATGTTCTCTTCTGGGCTTTGCGCATTACATTCTTCGTCTCATCCCGAACGCGAAGATCGGCGAGGTCCAAGTACCCAGGGCATTTAACAAACCTGCGCGCACACTGTGTACAGCCTGGTCTTGCCCTGTCGCACTATGCATTGTTGGCAAAACCCATCGCGTGGTTCCATTCTGAATGACGGCCTGCTTACCTTGGCCCGTCTAGGCCGGCATGCATGGCACGACATCGACGGTATTTTTGAGTTTCCCATTTCAGCAACCCGGGGCAGGACGTGCTCTCTTGTCTTGAGGCTTCAGGATCCCGTCGCCGGGATTTGGGGGGGGGGGCAGTGAAGACTGAGTTCAGTAAATGGCGATCGACTTCCTTCGTCAACAATGGTTGACTGCCTGCTAAGTTCACTTGAGCATAGCCCGGTCCACAACGGCTGGGACACAGCAGGTACCTGGGTACATATTTTCGACGAACCTTCCCAATTAGGAAACATGTCTGAGCCTCATCACCACTCTTAGGCACCACATCGTAGCTGTCTTCAGGTCTGTGAAATCAGTGAGCCATAAAGCGTCATTTAATTTTTCGTAGTAATACGAGGTGTTCGAAAATTTAGAGAGCTTCCAACCTGTGTACTTGATGTGGTCGGTGCATGACTTGTATATACACCAAGCTGGAGACGGGTTCCTGCTCCCAGTCTACTCGCCTCAGTAAGCCTTCCCTTCTTAGATCAAACAACACGTTGCTGCATCTCTACCAATAAATACATTCCCTGTTTCCTTTGGCCGTTTGTCGTACTGCCTTGTCCCGCAAAGTGGCCAGCATGCGTCTTGATAGCAGAGGCGGTGTGTCCATCGCCGAGCTGGTCAGCTATTCGCCGCTGCTGGTCGCCGCAGCACTTCTCTGCCAAAGACATGGGTTTGAGCGTCCTTCTGGCTGGGTCTTCATCTTGATACTTTGTATCATTCGAATTACCGGTTCGGCATGTAACATGGTCACCTACCGCGCACAGTCCACAAGTCTGTACCAAGCCGTGTTCATCCTCGACTCGGTCGGCATATCCCCTCTCTTGTTTGCCACGCTCGGCCTCCTGACAAGAATGTATGCACCTCTATTTACACGTCCGAACACATTTTCCATTATTTCAATTCTCATCGACGGGAATGGCGCTCCTAATTGTACTTTTAGACTCACCTGGGTCCGGGCACACTCCGAGACCAGCATCAGATCCAAGCATTTCCGATTCGCCCAGCTCATCTTCACAGGTGGCCTCATATTAAGCATTGTTGGTGGGATTAACTCAAGAGCTGCGGCCAGCCCCGGCACTTTGAGCCAGGTTGCTATCGTCCTCTACTTTCTCGGCCTGGCCGCCTGTGTTTTCTTTGAGATATCGGCTTGGGCCGGTACGGTAGCCTGCGGCTCTGTGCCCGCCAGCGAACGCAGCACCGTCTACGCTGTTGTGGCTGCTTTGCCCCTTATCTTCACCCGAATTTTGTTTTCGGCCCTGGCAGTGTTCCTACATGACTCAACATTCGGTATTGTTCGACGTTCCACGGGTGTTTATGTCGGCATGGTTGTGATACAAGAAGCACTTCTTGTGGTCATGTATACTATAGTTGGATGGCAGCTGGACCGATTGGACTACAACTAATGTCAGAGTCAGGATGGATGATCGAGTGTCGAAGGGCGAGGCGCGCAACGTCGTCTCATACAGGTCGAGATATATATGAGAGGCAAAAGACATCGTGCACCTCGTTCAGATGCTCGAACGCGGGTGGTTTCCCAGCAACAAGGCATTTATGAATTGGGAGACCCATGAAATGGAATCGGAGAGACTAATTGATTGAAATGGCGGCGGAGCTTTGCGGAGTTGGCAAATGCGTTGATTTCGTGCCTGATACACAAGCAACAGTCTGTCAGTCCCCAGTGTCGTGAGACACTTTAGAGCTGAAATCGTCAGCTTGTGTGTGGGATGCCTCACTTCACGGCCATAAAATTACATCCAATCCTGGCACTGATCCAAGGTTTGAACTGTCTAGCGTTCCAATTGGCGTTGATTCTCAAAGTGTGGATGTTGGTGTGTAACTTGTCGCCCTCAGGGGCCTCAATCTATTCTGGGTGACGTCATTCTTCAGCCTTGTGGCATCCGCAGCGGCAGACCGGATCGATGAGACAGTTTGTTAAACTCAGAGCGAGTCGTGCAAAGCCACTTGGTCAATGCCAACATGTGAGATCCATGTGCTGGCTATAGGGCTGACCGGTCAGTCAGAGCCCACCTGTCACGTCCCTTAGACACCTTGCCCTCCTTCTCCAGCTTCTGCAGAACCTGTATGACCCCGCCCTGGGCTGGCAGGTGCAGCGTCTCGGGCACGTCGTGGTAGATGATCTTGACCAGCTCCATCGGCTTCCAGGAAGCGGTCCCAGTCGCATCGTTGACGGACCGCAGGGTCTGTGTGATCTGGTCCTCGCGCTGCTGACGGTGGGAAATGTACTCCCGTATCTTGGCAGGCCCGTCGTCAATAACGGGGCCGTGGCCCGGGTACGCCCTGCCGCCGAAGAGCTCCTTCATCTTGTCCAGGCTGGCCAGATAGGTGGCCAGGTCCTCAAATACTGCCGTGCCTTGGCCCAGCACGTTGTCGGCAGTGAATAAGGAGTTCTCCTCCTCGAACGCGAAGACCATGTGGTCCACGGTGTGGCCTGGGGTATGTATGGCAGTTAGAGTTGCCCCGTCGACGCTGAATTTCTGCCCGTCGGCTATGTCCAGCTGGCCGTCCTCGGGCTGGTTCTTGAGCACCTTGGTGTCCGCTGAGAGCGCCAGCAGGTCTTTGATGCCGCCCTGGTGGTCCCCGTGCCAGTGTGATATCAGAGCGTGGGAGATTTCGGCGCCTTCCTCGGCCAGTGTCCGCCTGAGAGCTGCGATCCACGAGGGTTTGCCCTCGCCGGTGTCGATGAGCAGGCGGCGGGTCCCGGTGCCCACGAGATAAGTATTTGTGCCCTGCAGGGTGAACTTGCCGGGGTTGCCTCCGAGGATGCGGATGCAGGCCGGACTGAGCCGTTGCACCTCGGGCAGGTGGACGAGTTGGGTGGCCATTCTGGACTTTGCGAAAAGGGCGATTGTCGGGCGCATTCAGTCCGCTGGCACTGCTGCGATTCCCGGGTGCATAAGTGCCCGGTCTACTGTAGATAATGTAAGCCTTGGGTCGGGTAATCACTTTGGTGGCCGGTTCTGATCAAGAGCCGAGGCATCGCCATGGTGAGTCGGGATGAGGTGCGAACGGCTTTGGTCCTGCCTGCCAGGTCAGGCTCGCCGAGTCGGCGCCGGGACTGGCCGTTGGAAGGAGGGCCATCCCATGTGTGCCGTGCTGCCTGCATATTATCCACGCACGGAATGAACCTTCACTTGTATTATGGTATAACATATCAACAAGCCTCGATGTCAGAGTAGTGGAACGAGATGAGGTGGGAGAGCCAGCTTACGGGCATGAGCCATTGTGGATTAAATGTGGTCCTTCTCTGCCTAAGCCTCGAATCGACCAGGTATCCACACGTTCCAGCATGGTCTATCTGGTAGTGATAATTGCGGCTGCGTAGGTATGGTACCTGGGCATGATTCACCGTGCTGAGTCCATCTGTACCCCTACTTGTGGGTGGGTAGGCCAAACGTGTCAAGGGGCGGCCGCTACTAGAGGGCTGCGGGTGCGAAATGATCCCTGTGCCCACCAGCGCGATAAGCTTTTGCTCCAGGTTCCTGGGCCGTCACTAAGGCTGCCGATAAGAATTTCCAAGCACCCGCCCGCGTGCCACCCTTGGAGAGAAGCTGGACGATCTGAATAATGGCATGTGTTAATTAACAACTTCCCGAAGCTGTTCTCAGTCGCATTTCCGTCTGGCCGGCTCCCTCCTATGCTGGAAAACCGCGGTGAGAACAACTGACGAAGCAGTCTCCCAATCCGTAATCGATCTGTGAGGGCATGCAGGCTGACTTACTTTCTGGTTGTAGCTCGCAGGTCGGTCCCTCTCGCGCCTTCCCGCCCGCGTCGCATCTCCATCCCCATCGACATCCGCGTCCGACATCCCCTTCCTTCGCACGATCTCCTCTGTTGAACCGAGGTTCCTGTGCAATTGCGGACGGGCAAACAGGCTGTGGGACGAGGCCTTGCCATCATAAGTTCGTTGGTCCCGAGCTTTGAACCGGACCGGACTGGCGGAGTTCGCCATTCATCGGCACGAGAACTTGTTCTTCCTGGTCGGGCCCTCGTCACTGCCTGCAATCGAAATCGAGTCCGACCACTGCACAACACGCGCCTCATCCCACAGGAGACTGTTCTCCTGCCACAGACTCCCTCTGGGGACCGATATAATTGACCGCATATTAAAGGAGAAGGGAAAGAAACGCTCAAAATGGCAACGCGGCCGCAAACGCCGGCGTCTCCCAAGAACGTCAAGATCAACTCGCCCGTCCAGGGCATTCCTGTGTTTGGCTGTGGTACGGCTCTGTCATGCCCCTTTCAATGCGCAGTGCCCATCACACGAGCAAGCTGACATGACATGTAGAGCATGCGCAACGTCTCCTGAGCCTGAGCCAGGAGACTACGAATACATGTATACAGCACTACAAGGCCATCCTGCGCTCCATCTTCGACAATGTCCCCATAATCCCTCAGATGCGCAAGGACTCGGACGGCAAGGTCATCAGTACCCTGACCAGCAACTACCTCTGCTTGCAGTGTCCGGCCATTGAGAAGGAGGAGACCATGGCGAAGCACGGCACCAAGAAGAGCCACCGTTTCTGTAGGTTATCATGAGGGTTACCGCACTGGTTTCTGCTACTCCGAGCTGACACGCGCGCCAAAGTCATCGACTCTAGGAGTGGGTCGCTGTTCTGCCAAATGTGTGATGACTTCGTTTGGGACCCAACTTTGGAGGATCTCAGGAACCGCAAGATTGACACAGGCACCTTTTCTAGTGAGACAAAATTTCGTTTTCACCTTTCGTTGAAGACATCCACGCCAGGCTCACGAGCTTTCTCACCGTCATCAGCCTGCCCGTGCGCATCGGAGCTGACAGCTTGCAGGTCGCAAAAGGAAGTACGATGAGCTTCTGGCGGAGGCCATTAAGGAGGACCCCAAGATCATTACCGCAAACACCATCATGCCGTCCTGTAGGGCAGACGGATTGCGTGGTATATACAATGCTGGCGCAACCTGCTACCAGAACGTCATACTTCAAAGTTTCCTGCACAACCCCATCCTGCGGAACTTCTACCTGAGTGACGGTCACTCGAGCAGTAACTGCGAAGTACCGCACTGCCTTAGTTGCGCGATGGACGACATGTTCCAGGATTTTTGGGGCTCCGAGGTTACTAATGGTTACACGGCAGCGAATATCCTATCGAGCTTCTGGATATCAGAGAACAAGGCATTCGAGAACCTGGTGACGACAAAGGAGCAGGATGCTCACGAGTTCTTCCAGTTTCTGGCCGAGGAACTGCACGAGCGTAATGGCGACGGCAAGAGGCCGGAGATTGGCAGTGAACACAGCTGCAACTGCATCATCCACCAGACATATTACGGCAAATTACAGACCACGACGACATGCCAGAACTGTGGCGGCGTTACGAACCAGGTACAGTCATTTCTGGACCTCAGCGTGGGCCTGGAGAACCTGGCACAGAAGCGGGGCAAGAAGGCAAGCCATGGCAAGACCTCCATGACCCTGCAGGAATGCCTCGAGGACGAGTATGTCAAGTCGGACAAGTGCGAGTACCGCTGCAACAAGTGCGACGGCACCCAGCAGGCGAGGCGAAACACCAGCATCAAGAGGCTGCCCAACGTCTTGTCTATTCAGCTAAAGGTACATGTCCATAATTCTTCGTCCTTCGTCCTCGTCTACACCACTTGCTCGGGCCTGCAAGGCTGTGCGTGCGTGCTGACTGACTGTGATCGCAGCGGTTTGAGTTCCGAAATGGGACCCGGGACAAGTCCGCAGCCAAAATCGAGACGCAGGTCAAATTTCCCCTTGCAGCTTAACATGCTGCCCTACACAAATCGCGCTAGGAACGCGGATGCGAAGGAGACATACGAGCTGTCGAGATCGTGCACGTACGACCTCATGTGCGCCGTCGTGCACGTTGGCGAAATCGACACCGGCCATTACATCTGCTACTGTCGTGTGGGTGAACAGGTAAGCGCCAGACTGATGATTCTCCGTTAGCTACAGTGATGAGTGTGTGTATATGGGACTGACTGGAGACCAGTGGTTCACTTTCAATGACCACCGAGTGGAGTTGGCTTCAAAAGCCGATGTACTGGCTGCCAAGGCATATCTGCTGTTCTACATCGTCCGGACTTTAGCGTGACAAGGCGGAGAGTGTCGCGGGTTTGGTGGACCTGATGTACGGCGTTTGTCGGGTTTCTGCGTTTGGAGGTAAAAATTGTGCATGCATACAGACATATGGTGTCTGGGATATCCTTTTTCCTCCTTTTCTCTATCCCTTATACCTGTGAGAAAGACAAAAAGTAACGGGCCGGATGGTTTCGACCCAGCATTGTCGGCAGGCGTTCCGCGAGAAGAAGGTATCATCAAGTCAGATCTGTTCTACCCATCCATACCTTATCAAGTTCTGTGCTGCCCAGCATAACCGTCTATCAAGAAAATGCTTTCCCCAAAAAGCGCGCCACGGCTACCGGTCCTCCATGTCAGGTCTCCATTTCCACACCTCGCTGTCAAAGTTAGCGTAGCAGTAGAACTCGTTGCTCAGCCCTCGAGCATGCGCAGGCTCATAGTCCGTAGTCTTGATACCAAATGACCGGTAAAGCTTGGTCACCAGGTTCTCCATCCGCTCTCCCGTAGAGACTATGAGCCTGACGTCTGCGGCCGGCTTGGCCATCCAACGCACAGTCAGGGCGGCCTTTGTCTGGCAGTCGTCGCTGAGGAAGGGCGGATCACAGATGATGCGGTCTACGCTGCCTTTGAGGTTGGCTGTTGCGCGTCTCAGGGTCAGTCTTGCCAACGAACTGCTTTTTCTCATTTCTTTATTTCTCTCTCCTGTGGTTTGGGTGTGGAGGATATGGAAGGGAAGCGTGAGTCAGGAGGCGGAAGGGATGAGTGAGGCCAGGACATGAGATAGCCCGCTTACCAGGGAGCTTGACGGGCTGCATAAAGTCGTAGAACAAGAACTCGGAGAAGACGCCGAAGCGGTAGTCATGTTCCAGGAGGGTGAGCGCCGGCTTGGGGCCCCGGGCGGTGACGAGGCCCACAAGGCTGTGTGTTAACGCACATGCCACAACAAGACAGGATGTATCTGTCCTGCACTCAGGGAAGAACATACAAGAATGTTCTTCAGCGCAATAAATACGCTCGGCGCCGACACGACGGCGATGCTGGTCTCGGACGTGGCCCCGTCCAGGAGCTGCCTGGCAAGGAGGTCCGCCGTCTCGTCCGAGTACTGTAGGCCGTACGCACGCATCAGCAAGGCCGTTTCTTGTCATATTCACACACTCTCCACACCCCGTGCGCCTGCAATGGACATGCTCTCAAGCCAGGTCCAAAGAAATAGAAAGAAAAGAAAAAAAAAGAAAAAATAAAGTCGTACCCAAAACTGCGACTTGTTCCAGTCCTCGCCAAACGTCGCCATCGACAGCGGGTACACCAGCGCGGCCTCCTTCTCGCGCCCGGCCGCCTCGCGCTCCTCGGCCGCGGCCTTGAGCTCCTCGAACTGCCTCGCGCGGGCGTCCCTGTCCGAGTAGAACTCCTGGAGGGCGTCGAGGGCGTGCGCAGACAGGGTTCTGCGAACACCCTTCCGTTAGTCATTCAAGTCCCGTTCATTGGCCCCATTCGCCCTCGGCGATCGTCGCGGCGGGACCTTTTGCGGGTCTCTTTTTCGCACTCACATGGGCTCATCGTCGCTGTCGGCCATCTGGGCTGCGCCGATTGAGTTAATGCGATTCAGACAACTTGGGCCTTGCGATGCGAATCAGATATCAGAACTCTGGCGCTAGAATTGTGTGTAGTTGGGGTGTTTTGGAGATGCCGCGGGGATTTGCGGTGGTTCAGATCAGGTGGTGATTTCGCTTTTGACTGGTACAAAACCGGAAGCCAACAGGGCTTCCGGCTCCCTGGTCCAAATCATCGAAGCCCAGAAACTACAGTGAGGGCATCTTGTATCACCGCTCAACCTGTCGCGGCACATATCGTCTGGTTCTTCGCATTGCACTCCGATTTGAAAACGCAAAGAAATCTAGCTACGTATTTACAGGCCGTACACCCCTTGAATCTCGAGCTATCTAAAGCCATTTTTCTCTTCCTTTTCTTTATTGATCATCCAGCACATGCAGGTACTTCTTCTCCTCTCTCTTCTCCTTCTCACTTGCTGGCGGCAGATCGTAGAATGCACCGCTACGGAAGCCTTGCTGTGAGGGGTATCAGTGTGAAAGCTCTGGGTAACTGGAGGCCGGGATAGGACTTACCACGTAGTGGTATGTGAACTTGCTGATGTCACCTGGCTCGATGCCGAGATCCTTGAAGGTCTTCGCCTTCTCGTCAATCACCTGGTCGATGTTCTCCACCTGGATCTGCTCAGCGGACATCCAAGGCCACCATAGCACCTGGTTGAGAAGCTTAGCAGCGGGCTCCAGGAATCTCCTGGGTACGTTGATGTGCCGTCGCTGAGAGAAGATTTCTCTGTCGACCAACTCAGCGATTTGCGCGGTAGAGTACTGCTTGGGTCCGTAGAGCTCAAATGTCTGCCCAGCGGTGTTGTCGTCGTAAAGCATCAACTCAAGGGCATGGCCGACGTCAATGGACTAAGTAAGTGGTTAGTTTCTTGATCCTGCTCCGACATGACGAGACCGAAACCCACGTGAACTGGCCAGTATTTCTCCTGCATGTGATTTGAGGTGAACAGGTTCGTCTGGCCTGCGAGCTTCAGCAGCAGCTGGTCCTCAAAGCCAAACAACGGTGCAGGTCGAACGATGGTCGTCTCAGGATATATGTCCCGGGCTATCTGCTCACCACGGCCCTTGGTCGCGAAGAATGTTGCTGGGGAGTTGGGGTCGGCATTGTAGGAGGATACGTGGATGAAGCGGTCTACGTCGTACTTGGCCACAGCCTCGGCAATCCGAGTGGTGCCCTCGACGTGGACATCCTCCAAGGAGAAGTTCCTGTGTTCAGATGTTAGTCCAAAGGCCCTGACCTCAATTTGTCGGGCTGGCGCACTTTGTTGGGTACGTCCGGCCCACCAGGTTGTAAACAACATCTGAGTGTCTGACGGCCTCCTCGATCGACTCGGTGTTCCTGAGGTCGTATTCCTGGTTGCAGATCAGCCATCAATTCTGAATGACCAGGACAACACCAGCACGCACAATGAACTCCACCCTTCCCAAATCTCCCGACACCTTGAGGTGGCGCTTGGCCATCTCCTCTCTGTACGGGATGACGACCTGACATCCTACCCGAGCTGTGCATTTCTCCATCAGCGACTCTATTCCTTTGCGCAGTCGTCGTCTTAGGCATACCCAATCGGTTGACGATGTACCGTCCGAGCTGTCCCGTTGCGCCGAAGACCGTGGCCGTGTGTCCTGTACTGCCGTGTCAGAGATCCATTGCCTCGCCAACATCGAGCGCTGTCGTGATATCGTACCGCCTAGCGATGACCTGTTCAAGCCTTTGTCAGCTGATGACCTGGTCCGCGGCAAAAAAGGGCTTGGTGGGCTACCTTCCACCCTGAACTCGAAAGACAGGCTTCCCCGTGCGTGTAATCGCGACGTCGGATATCGATCGTTGTTGGATGGCTTTCCGGGCGATCTTGGGGAAGGACCGCGCTGCGGTTGGTATGGAAGCCATCCTTGCTGAATCCGGGGTCGCAAGAAGGCCGGTGTTGTGTTCAATGGGTTGTCGACCGTCGTCGGGAGTTCGATGAAGCTTCGCCTCGGACTGGTAATTGGGAAGCTCCAACCAGACGCTGCCAATTCCCAAGCACAATGCCGAACGTTAGAGGACGCTTGGACCAGCTAAAAGGCCACTGTCCTTACCTAAGCTTCCTAGCATTAGGTGCGGCGTCTACCAGCCCTCCCCCCCTGCCCCCCACACCCCCCCTTGTTGCTCTGCAATGCCCCTTTTTGGGTTAGGTCATTTTGGTTTAGAGCGTCATGGAGCTTCCACATTGGAGCTCTGCCACAGGCTGCACTTCAGCCGCGTCGACCCAGCGACCACTGCCTGCCAACGACCGCATCAGCCACTCAACCTTGATATCCCGAAGGACCTCTTTCTTTTCCTTCTAACCCTCCTCCATTGCGACCCGACGACTTACGAAACGAGATTCGCAGAGCTCTGCCACTACCCCCCAAACTCATCACTCGGACCGCGCACACACATCAGAGGTCATAATCCGCTGCATCTCCTACGTTCCCCATTCGGCACCATCGACAGCATGAGCAACGACGAGAACACGCAGGCGTTCCTGCAGGAGATACTCCTCCAGTCGCCAGAACACCTCCAGGCTGATGTCTTGCGGCTTCAAGACCTCTGGGAGCAGAAGCTCTGGCACGAGCTGACCGAGACCTTGATCACCATCTTCAACAACCCCGAGAGCGCCTCCTCCCGCCTCCCCATCTACAACAACTTCATCCTCCAGTTCGCCGACAAGATCAACCAGCTGAAGCTTGTCGACTTGGCTCTCAAGGCCGCGCAACAATGTTCGGGTCAGTACTCGAAGAGTAGCCTGCGCAGTCAGACGAGAACACTCGGCTAACAGTAGGCAGATCTCCAAGAACGCCTCAGCTTCACCGAGGCAGTCGCAAAGAAGGTGGACCCCGAAGAGGAGAAGAAGAAGAACAAGAGCGCCGACGAGGAGGAAGACCCAAACTCAAGAAATGCCTACGTGTACGCAACAGTTGCGGTGGCTCAGGTGAAGCTCGACCTCGGCAATCTCGAAGACGCGCGGAAAGACCTGGCCAAGGCTGAGAAGAAGCTGGACGTGTTTGACTCTGTCGAGACAGTCGTCCATGCTGCCTTCTACAAGATCAACGCCGCCTTCTACTACCTGAAGCAAGACTTCGCATCCTACTACCGGAACGCACTGCTGTACTTGGCATGCATTGACATCAAGAGCCTGGACGCCGCCGAGTGTCGCAAGCGGGCGTACGACCTTGCGACTGCGGCGCTGGTATCCACAAGCATCTACAACTTTGGCGAGCTGTTGCTGCACCCTGTCCTGGACGCGCTGAACAATGACAAGGATCGGTGGCTGCGGGAGCTCCTGTTCACATTCAACGCCGGCGACCTGGTCAAGTACGACCAGCTGTCCGGAAGCATCAACTCCGACAAGCTGCTGGCCCAACACAAGGAGAAGCTTCGGGAGAAGATATACCTGGCAGCGCTCACAGAGGCCGTCTTCCGGCGGCCACCGCACGAGCGGGCGATGAGCTTCGCAACGATCGAGCAGGAGACGAAGGTGAAGCCCCACGAAATTGAGCACCTTGTCATGAAGGCGCTGAGCCTGGGTCTGCTCCGGGGAACGGTGGATCAGGTGGATGAGGTGGCGAACATCAACTGGGTTCAGCCCAAGGTTCTTGACTTCAAGCAGATCGATAGCATGCGGTCTCGTCTGGCAGAGTGGGACAGCAGTGTCAACCAGCTGGGCAACTGGATTGAGAAGTCGGGACAGGATGTCTGGGCAGCGTAGGAGATAGAGGCTGGTAGAGGTGCAAGCGTCGGGCAGTGGTTGCCACGGCTTTAGAATCGAAAGCCGTCGACTCGACATGGGTATGTAAATGAATTAGAGGCAGGCTTGGAACACCAAAAGAGACCATCAAGAGCATATCATCCCAGAACAAGGGATCTTGTCTGATGTCATTGATGCTGAGCATGCTGGTCGGTCGCTTGTAGCTTGAGGCCCAAAAGTAAGGTGGCCAGCAGAGTTCATTGAAGTAGGTCCCTGGATTTAGGTACCTAGGTGCCTTGAGTTGTGCTTGGGGAGCTTGGTGAAGTTTGACCTCGCAATCAATCTCCCATGCCCAACTCAGTCACTGAGGCTTCCTGGGCTTTACTACGAACCATTCAATCGATACCATTTCTGGCACCTGCTGCTCCTTAACACTGCCTTGCCCCACTGACACGCCTCCCTGCTACCTGCTGCTATCTACCTGGTGATTTTGTATCCTCTTTCTTGCAAATGTCTTCAAGAATAACTCCATGCAACAAAACCAACACTCCCTTCTTTAACCTGTTCCCCGCCTCTTCACGCAACTACCTGCGAGCTTGACCACCGAAAGATAACACAGGCACTCATGGGCAGCAGCCCTGCTTTCTCAAGTCTTGTTTCCCCGATTTATCTGCTCGTTAGATTTGCTAATGCCTTGCCAGCATTTCAACGCGTCTGACGCGTCCTCCTAATTGATGTGCTTGTTTGCATCGATACAGCACAAACGCGCGCCTGAGACCTTGGACCGGCCCCCGAACCCATCTCAACTTCTTTCACTCACTCGACATTTCAATTGCCCGATACCGCTGGCTACCATGCGCTTGTTTTATCGATGCGTAAACTTTCATCTTGTTTTGGCGGCGGAGCAGTCAAGCAAATGGACTTTGGGCTCAATGCTGCAAATCGCAACAATCCGGTCCCGGCGTGATCATGCTGCACAACAGTCCTACGTCATCGAAATGGCCAAGCCAATACTGTCGATGAATCAACAACGGCAAACGCACTCACCGCTTGCAGCGCGTCAGAACATCCCGTTTGCAACTTGCAGATGTCGTGAGTCGCAGACCTGGAGCAAGTCGACACACGACTGCGTGGCCCACAGGGTGTGGGATGCGCCACCGACAAGACACGGGAATCATCTGAAGTCACTCAAACGGAGAGGTGACCGAAATTCTCAAATCTCGAATTCCAAATTTCTGGTGGCGGACCTCACCTCCACACGGCTTCGATTTGCAAGCTGCAGGGCTCCATCCAGAGTAGGTATGTAATTGCTACAGAGAGTCGAAGACTAACATCCGATATGGTGTAGTGGCCAACATTCCGCGTTTTCATCTCGAGATCCGCGGCGCCCGGGGTTCGATTCCCCGTATCGGAGATCGGATGTATTCTTTTGCTGATTCTGCAGTTCTTTTTGATTACCTTTCAAACAGCGGCTAATTTGCGAGATCGTGGCTGGCTCTTTTTGTCCGGCCAGACCTGCGGAGAGCGGCACGAGATGGTTTCTGGGCTGCACCACCGGCACGGGAAAGAAGCCAGCTTTTCTGCCAATTTTCTCAAAACACCAATAGATACGACTATGAGACGTCTCCTGGAATGTGTTATTATACAGCTGACTGATGATGCCCTTATGAATTCCGGGATGTGAAGGAGAGCTCCACAAAGATTTCGCCTAGCCAGGAAGACTTGTTGCGGCGCGAATCAAACAACAGCAAACTGTGACGGCGGATCTCGATGGCCTTTCACTGAACCCGAAGAATTAAAGAATTCCAAGCAAAGACCATCGTAAAGCATGATACTTGCAATCGTGAGTAGTGCTCGGAGGCTGTTCAGTGTGAACATTGATTGCATGGGAGACTTCGACTCACTCCCAAATATCACGCGACTGTTCAGGTTTGCAGCTCAAGGGCGTTTGTCACGAACGCGGAAGGAACCGCAAGTTCTGGCTTATTGCTGAATCACCTTTACCTGATGCGATATCTTTCAGGCCACCAAGGTTGAACAGTGATTGAAGTGACACATGGAAGTCGCCGCCGTCTCTTGAGCTGGCTGTGGTCAAGTGCATTCGCGTACGGAGACCAGGTAAGTATCTTCTGATTATACGGCGAGAAAAGAATGGGTGATTCTGGGCGAGCATGGCTAGATGGCACAGTCCAGGAAGCCTAGGATCAGATTGAGGTGACAATCAGAGAATGCGTCGAGCCTCTTACACCTGCCTGGCCAGAGCGCCGGATAGAGCTCAGGGATAACGCTGCAGGATCAAAGCAGAGACAAAATGCTTGAATGGGTACTAACGAAGTCTAAGATTCTTGGTGCCGACATCACATTCATTTTGCAGCGAGTCTCGCACACCCACGATTCCGGGCACAATCTAGCCGGGAATTAGGAGGCTATAGCCTGTCTGTGGTCATGATCCGTGTAGTTCAAGAGCATCTTCTCAGTTTCATGCGCCTCTCTGGCCTCGAGTTGTTTCCTCTCTTGAACAAGTGTATGTGCCTAGTCCCAAATTGGAGGAAGGTTCACTTCTAAGGTGACAGGCGCCAGAAGATTTGTATGGGGTTCCGAAGCCCAAATCCCGTCCCGCCGCCTGCGTACTCTGTGTAGCACGCCGCTTCTGGTGTCATGCCACAGGGGTAACCTGTGAATGCATGTGTTTCCTGAGGGTTTCGCGTCAGAACATTTCGTCGCATCCAAGCCAAGAGACTCGCCACCTCGAATGTTCGCCGCCGCCGTGCTGCTTGGGCCAGATTTGGCCAAACCCAAGGCATCTGCAAATGTCCATGCCCCGCCCGTGGTCAAAATGGGCTCAAGTTGACTCCTTCGCTGAACCCTCCGCCGTGACGATCCTGCGCTGGTCTGCGGGCGAGAACATGGCAGTGCCCTGGGATAAGGCGCTGACCAGGGTGGGAATTGCGTCGCTCTTGAAGTCGTCGGCGTTGCGGATCTTGTCGAGGTCCTCTGCAAACTCCTTGGTCGCCCGCTGAAGGTAAAATGAGGTGAACGCCGCCGAGACGTCCTTGTCGGACATTTGCTTGCTGCTCGGACTGCTCATTTTGACAGTGGGTTATGCGTAGGTCTGTGATGCAGGATTTCTTATCGAATGAGTCTGCAGCGTTTTGACTTATGATGTTCTTGAGTCGAATTCTGGCTGCTTGTGTTGCAGTGTCGAGCTGCGAAAACTCTTATAGGCCTGCTTTTTTAGCTTATCGGCTTCTATCCAGTCTTTTCTCAGCAACGTCTCTCCGCGTCAGCACCGAAGACTCGACTTCTCAGATTAATCAACTAAAAAACCTGCAAAGAAACCAGCAATACGGAAATCAACCAAAAATTGTTGACCTGAATGTTGTATTTGCGCCGGTTTGGCAGCTGCCTAGAGTACCTGAATGTGTTCTCCGCGTGGGAAGGTGAATCAGTGCAAGAATGACAGGCTAGACCGCATCGGACCGCTCCGGGAGCTAAGGGGCACGGGCCACCGATCCGCCGCCTCGGGAGTGCCGGACTAAATGTGGAGTCATGAGCAATATTTTGATGACACATGCTCAAGGCACAGTGGCAGAGTGGTCTAATGCGATAGACTTGAATTACACTTCATGATATCTATTCTCTTCGGAGGCGTCCGTTCAAACCGGGCCTGTGTCGATAACCCGAGACCACATTTTTGCACTTTTGCCTCGTCTGGAGAATGAGTGTGGCTAAACGCATGCCCCCCTCCATTCTTTGGGGCATGTGTTGACAGTGCCGCATGCGCCGCGAGCCGCCTGAGTCTGACTCAGTCTGATCTATTACAACGCTGAGGCCATTATTAAACAGTGGACGCCATTAGCAAGGTCATCACAGTTTCATGAACAAATCTGCAGGAGCGATGACGCGCGACAATATTGGTACTTTATGTCATTAAGAGCCGTAACTAATCTAGAGAGGTACACACGCGTCATCCCCATCCCTCCTCCCTTCAACCCCGTCGCCTCTGCTGTCTTCGAGGGTCGCCTGGATCGAGACAGATCGGGTACCTGGTGCGCAGCACGTCATGCCAGTTTGGGGGTGGGTATCCCTCCCGGCGCTTGCTGATGGCCACGGCTCGGAGGACACGACGGACTGCCCTGGTGGACACAAAGGTGAGGTCTTTTGGGTTGTATTGGAACCCCCCTTCTGGACCCTTCGATCTGGTTAGGGCTGTGTAGACGGCAAAGACGCCCACGTAGGGCTGCCCCTCGGCAGGCTCAGAGTCCACTTCCTCTGCGAGCTGTGGAAGTATAGGTGTGTGTAATTGTGCCGCATTAACGTCCCCGGCCCAGATTCCGGCCCCCCCCCTGATCCCGGCCGCCCCACACCCGCATACACGCATAAATGCGTTTAGCCACCCCCTATATATTTCCCTTAATATCTTTATAAGGAAATTTCCTTTAATTATTAAATTTCTCTTAAATATTAATTAATTTATTATAAAATAATATATTAAAAATAATATATTTAATACCCTTATTATAATTAAAAATAAAATATTAATTTAATAAGCTTTTAAAATATAATATATTTTTTATAATATATTATTTAATTACTTTAATAATATTTAAAGTTATTATATTATTATAAATTCTTAAAAATTTCTTTTTAATTATTAAAAAGCTAAATTAACTTTATTTATAATTAATTAAAATAATTTAAAATTAATATTAATATAATATAAAATAAAAGCTTTAAAAGCTTAATTAACTTATTTAAATAAAAATTATACTTTCTTTAAAAACAAATTAGCTAAAAGCCTTTTTTTCTTATTATTTTATTTTTTAAAGCTAAAAAAGTTAATATATAAAGGTTATTTATTTTTAATTAATTATTAAAAAAAATATTAAATCTTAATTTAAATTTTTTTAATTATTTATTATTAAATTTATTTAATTAACTTATTATTAAAATATTAATAAAAAAAGTTAATAAAGAATTACTTAAAAAATATTCTTACTTTTAACTATTTAAATAATAGCTTTTTTTTATAAAAAAACTTTAATTTATAAGCTTAAATTTTATTTATAAAATATATATTTATCTTAAGTAAATTACTTAACCCTTTTATTATTTTTAAGAAATTAAATATATAATAATAATAATTTCTTATTACTTTTAAAAATTATAATAATTAATAATTTATAATAAAAAAAAGAATTATTATTAAATAATTTAAAAAAATATTTATTTTTTAAATTATCTTTTTAAATCTTTTTAAGTAATAATTATTAATTATAAATAAGCATTATATATATATAATTATTAACTTTATATAAAAATACTTTTTATATTAAATATATATAGTTTTTTTATTTATATATACTTTTTATATATTATAACCTTTTAATATATTAATATTTTCTTTATTAAAAATAATATTTTAAAAATATTTATATTTAATAAAATAATATAATTTTTTATTAATAATATAAAAAAAAGGTTTTTTTATTATTATTATAAGATATAAAAAAAAAGTATTTATAAATTAAATATATATTTAAAATAAAAGATAATAAAACTTTAATTAATATTTAAATATAAAGTATTTAAAAGTTATTATATTTTTAAAAATTATTAAATTAAATATAAATTATTAAAATTTAATATAATAAAAAGCTTTATTAAGTAATTTTTTATATTAAAAACTTTTTTTTAATAATTAAAATTTATTTTTAAAACTTTTAAATAATTATAAAAAATATAAAGTTTAATAATTATTTTTATTTATAAAAAATATATTAATCTTATATTATATATATTTTTTAAAAAGCTTATTAAAGTATATAATTAAAAAATATAATTAATAATAATTACATAAAAAAATTAATAATTAAAAGCTTAAATTAAAATTAATAAAAAAATTATAAAAAAAAGTTTAAATTAACCTTAATATAATTTTTATTAATATTAAAACTATTTATTATGCTTAAATTAAGATAAGAAGGGTATTAAAAGAAAGCAATACTTTAAAAAAGTTTTTAATATTAATAAAAGAGGGATTGATTATTATAATAGCAGGCAATTAATATTAATAAGAAGGCATGTATGTGTGGCAAGGGTGGCCGGAATGGGGGGGGGTGCCGGAATCTGGGCCGGGGACGTTAGCGGCGTCGCTTTTGTTCAACACGAGCCGGACCCAGTTGACCGGGTCTCTGACAGGCCTGGCGATCGGGCACCCGGACGTGAGGTCGGACGCGAACACGCAGCCCGGCCCGGAGTTTAACGTGTTCACCATGACCAGGTTGTGCATCCACACGCGCACGATGGACTCCTCAAGGAACAGGAAGTCTTCCTCGCTGATGAGTGGGCTCTGGTCGAGCTGTACGCCACCCATGGCGTTGGCCCACGTCTGGCTCATGGTCGCCCAGTTGCTCTCAACCACGCTGAGCGCATTTGGGGAGACGTGCAGCATGCCATTGCACGTGCTGAAGTCCTTGGCCAATTCCAGTTGTTGTGAATTCCTGTGCCTCGCCCACAGAGCAGCAGCGAACCAGATTGGGCCCCTTTCGACGTATCCCCGGGCGAAACCAAGCACCTCGTCCCGGGTCTGGAGAAGGCTGTGGAACTCGGCCGACCTGCCCTCTGGGATATGAAAGTCCATCAAGGACAAGATAGGTGAGACCAACGGGGAGTCAGGGTGGTAGACCACGGCGGCGATCTGCACAAGCGCGCTGGCTCTGGCGCCTTGGGTCGTGGACGCGATCGCCAGCAGGTTCGCAACGTCGAAGTTGCGCACGCCACCGTGGTGCCACCAGGAAGTGATCCTGCCCAGGTTTGTGGGCGGGCCACCCTGGCTCTCGGTCAGGCCCCTGACCTCTAGCCTCCTCAGATACTCGTCTGTCATCTCCTCGTCTTTGGGAAGAGCGATAGGCGAGATATTGCCGCCGCCGTCAAAGTACGAATGTTCGCAGAAGAACAGGAGAACGGCGGGGAAGTCGCCCGTGAAGGCAGGCGGGTTTGTCGGGGCCGGAGGGAGCTTCTTGAAACCGGCCACGGTGGTGAAGACGGAGACCACATGGCTTTCGAGGCTGCCGCTGGGGCTGCAGGCGACCCGGGAGGCGTAGCGCACCTCCGCCTTCGACATGGAAACATTTGTCCTCCAAACCACCTGGGAGACGCGCCTGTCAAAGCATAAGCCCAACCTGACGGGGAGCACCAGGACCGTGCCGAGGTTGCGGACGGTCCCGATGGTGAAGACTTGGACGACGGGCTTCCGAAAGCCGACCTCCATGTTTTGTCCGCATTTCCACAGGTCGTGGCAGGCCTTGACAATGTCCCATGTGTACTGACCACAGCCCATGTGCATGAGCAGCGCCAGGTCCTCCTCGAGGCAGCCCGGGAATGCGGTCAGGATCCCGCTGAGCTGGGGGTATGTCATGAGCCAGAGCTTGCCATCGCGGTCGGCCCAGAAGCTGGCGGGGTCGGCGAGGACGGCGACCTTGTCGGCGAGGACCGCAATCCTGTCGGCGGGAAAGGCTTGTGTGGACTTTCGCAGCTCGTGGTGGAAGATGGCGACCTCGGCCGCGTTCATCAGGACGCACGCGACGGGGCCGCGCGACTGGCCGAGCACATCGACGGCAAAGTTGATTATAACGCCCGAAGGGCAGACCTCGTCGTATTTGTGTATGTATTCAGCCATGTTGCTGTGGTGTTTGTGATTGTGTTGCAGAGGATGTCGTGGAGTTTGGGGAGGGGTCGGGTTGCAAAGGTTGGTGTGTGAAATGAGCAGGAGTGTCACTGTTGTTTTTTTCAGACAAGCAAACACGACGTCGACACAAGCAGCGCTTTTTCATCCATTTCAAACGGAGCTTTATCCAGTAGTTTTGAAAATTATACCAATACGAAATAACATGTTTCTACTTGTAGTCAACTCTAAAGGAGTCAATTCAAAATGGCCAAAGATCCCAGGCACAGGGCGTCTTTGCAGTCTGCACTGACCTGCACAGCAGCGCTCGAGGTATCAGCCCGAGGAAGCTTACGATCGTGTCTGGCGAGGCAGTTCACGCCGAGCTGGTCAAGGCTGCCCCTCAGCATCATGTCCCGCCTGGCACGTCTCTAATAGACCTGGCAATTCTCTCCCAGAGGTCTGCACTTGATGTTGCATTCGAGCAAGCTCCAGCAAGCCCAAGCCGACGTGGTAGACTGGAAGGCAGAAGCAAGAGAGGCTGATTAATCAGGTGACGAGATTGAACGGACGCCTCTGAAGAATAGATTTCACGAAAGAAGTTGAGTCTTTCCGGCACCAACAGCAAGGCCATGGTCGACCAGCCAGCCCACCAACCCGGTTCGTAGCTCGTGATATGCACGCTTTCTGAGTGTCGACTTACTTGGGCCAGCTTTCCCAGTGATCAATCATAGCGAATTAGCGTATTTGGCAACAATTTGAATGTCATACACGGTGAATCTGTCAATCTTGCGTTTTGAGAAGCCCAGTTCACCCTCCGAGGATTCACCCTTGTCCATATCATCACCAGTCAAGCCAACAACGAGAGCAGCACAAATGGTATATTAGTACTGAGCTTTTAAGTGCATAAGTGTTTGGTCGTGTGGGTATTAGGTGTGTGGGTGTTGGGTGTATGGGTGTGTGGGTGTGTTGAGTGTGGGTGTGCGAATTAGGCCTGGGTTTAATTTGCTGCAGCTGTGGCATGGATGATGTTCCGGTGTACCCTCCCGTTTTGCAGGTACGAATCTCTGTATTCTTTACGAACAGCTATATCAGTCCTCGTGCCTCTCAGAGGCAGAGAACGGTTTTCACCTACAGGATCCAGTGGCTTCCTGGCTGCGGATACATCTATGAGTCAACCAAGGCCTGCAGCTTGGCCACCAGCTCTGTGATCTCGAGATCTTGCCGCAGGAGCGTGATACGATCATTGATGGCATTCTCGGCCTTGTCATACCGCTGTATGTAATGCTTGATCTGTTTGGCAGTTTCTTGTACCTCAGCCAGCTCACACTCTAGCTCCATGAGGTTATCGACGGTGTTGTCGCCCGGCGCGTCAAAGAGCGGCTGCAGGCCCGAAAACTCCCTCACGAATGCGTGCCTCTTGCGAAGCTCTTCCACAGACGCAAAGATGTTGTCATAAAAGTACCTCTCTCGGCCCTTGACGTACTCTTCAGCCTCGTTATCAAAGAGGCTGCCGCCCTCCTCCCCGTGCTCCTCGCCGGCAACAGCGTGGGCGGCGGGCGGCGTCTTGGGGGCCTTGGGTGACTTGGAGCCGGCCCTACCTCCCGCCCTGGCCTTGGACCTCCTCCTCGCCCTCGGCCTCCCAGACTCGCCGCCACAGACGATGCGGTTGAAGCCGTCCTGGGAGATGTACGAGTTGCCGAGGGCGGCCACGAGGATCTCGTCGGTGGGCAGGTCCGTCCTGTTCCACAGGCGAGTGACGCACCGGCAGACGTGGACCGGCTCGATGGACATGTACATCATCAGGGACATCACGATGGCATACGCCCGGTTTACACCCTCGAGCTTGCTTTTCTTCCCCGACTGGGGGTCGTAGGCCTTTGACCGGGTCTGCAGCTTGGCAGAGCATCCGGCGTACAGTGGGCCCTGCAGGAGAGGCTTGCGGCCGGACGGGTCGATGGCAAGGCTCCTGTCCCTCCTGAGCTTCAGGCTGCTGACAAGAGCACGCCAGCCCTCGAGGACGTCGGTATCGTTGCTCACCACGAAGCGAGGGCCCTCCTCCTTTGCGTGCTGCCCAAACATGTTGTCAACCTTGCTCACAAAGTCCCGGGCCCTGCTTTCCTGTCTGTCTCTCGGGGCGGCGCCATCGCGGTCGAAATAACCTATCGACGCGTCAATGTAGTCCTCGAGATATCCTATCAGCTTGGTCAGCTCTGGGGGCTTCAGCCACGCGCCGTCACGCCCTGCGACGGCGATGGCGACGGCGTACACGCCGAATTCTCTCATGTCTCGGTAGTGGCTGGGCCTGCCGGACTTCCGCATGAAGTCATGGGCGAAAGTACCGAGCACCAAGGACTCGAGAACCTGCCTGGGGATGGTATGGAATATTCGCCATATCTCCGACCGCGGGTCACTCATCTCCTCGAGTTTCGTGACGTAGTCGTCGTTGTAACCCCATAGGTATTCTGGGATGTCCTGCGCGTCGCTGGCCAGGCCCTGGAACATCAGACCCAGCTCGTAGTAGGATTTCCCCTGCAGGAGCGCGGTGACGAGGGCGCGCCTGTTGCCAGAGAGCAGCGGGATCTGCGCAGTCGGCTGTGGGTCACTTGCATCGATGGTGTCCATGATGAGCCTCGATGTTCTTGACAATAATACTTGATGATTGAATGATGGTTAACTCTGTCTTGTGAGAACAATTTGGTATCTGTGTGACTGTGCTGGGGGTTCGGGTGGGTTCGTTGGACGGGCGAGGTGTCGGGTGCGAAGGGAAGGCACGCCTCGATGTTCATGCTGGCTGGACCTCGAACCCAACCGCGCGACAGCAACCGCAGGACAGAACAGACATATCCACACAACCCGATCGAACCAATTTTAACATTTTATTCCTTCTTGATATCTATCGTTCATCATGTCTGAACACGAGATCATTGAAAACGGCCGATACCTGGTCCAGTCGTTGCAGGTGCTGCGTGAATACGCGTCGACCACGGCGACAGCCCCAGGGCAAGAGCTCGACACCACGGCACTCTCTCGGCTGACTGACGTGCTAAGCTTAGCACTGTCCGACATCGAAAGCATCCGTGATAGTAACAGGTCACGCGAAGCCAGCATAATCGAGCGGGAGGCCGAGCTCGAAGTCCTGTGCAAGGCGGCCGACGATCACAAGCTCGAGATGTCCACAGCTGCCGCTAGCTCCCTGGAGTTGCTCAATGGTGCTCAAGCCACCGCTCAGAAGCTCGAAGACACGCGCCTGGCGGCTGAGCGAGATAGGAATAGCCTCCTGGATGCGCTCAAGAGTGCCACCGAAAAGGAGCAAAGCCTGCTGCACCGCGAGAACGAACTCACGCGCCGTGAACAGGCCGCTTCCCAGGTGGAAAAGGCTGCAGATGAGAGTTCAAGACTGGCGGCCGAGGCTTTGGATATCAATTCCCGGCTTGTCACCGAGAACGAGAACATGCAGTCCCGTCTTAACCAACAGATGGAAGAAGCCTCCCGAGCCCAGGCAAGGCGTGAAGAGGCAGAAGCCGAGTACAGGCGCTCTCAGGCGGCCTTTGAACAAGACAAGAAAGACCTCGAGGAGGCTCGGGGCCAGCTCGAGCAAGACAAGAAGGCTGCCGCGGAATCCAGCGCCGCACTTGACGAAGAAAAACGCCGGGTGCATGCCATCGAGGAGCAGGCGAACACCCTCAAGGCTGAGGCAGAGAGGGCCTTGCAGGACGCGAGATCTCAGAAATCTGCATCCGAGCAGCTCGATCGCGAGTCGGCGGCCCGACGTGTCTCGGTGGACCGCGAGAAGCAGCTTGCCGAGGAGGCACAAAAGCAGGCCGCGAGGGACCGCGAGCAGGTCGAGGCCGAGCGTGATCAGGTAAGCAAAGACCACGAGTCTACCGTGTCTCTTCTCAAGAAGATTGAGGATCACTACGCCCACGCGAGCCAGGACCGTGCTGCCACGGTGTCCATACTCGAGGCTGCCTGGGAGCAGCGGGCACAGGACCGTAAATCTGGTGCAGCCTTGCTCGACGAGACCAAGGCCGAGAGGGCGAAGGCACATCAGCACTGTACCGCTGCCGCGTCATTGCTCCAGAAGGCCAGTGATCAAATGGCACGGCTGGATGAAGACCGTGCCGAGATTGCATACTCCGCCGAGTCGGCGAGGGCTGAACAGACGGAAGACCGTGCTGCTATTGCATCTGTTCTGCAAGAGGCCAACGACGTCCTCAAGGTGAGTGAAGAGGTAATCCGGAAACGGATCCAGGACCTCGAGGAGTCGAGAGATGCGCTGAGGGGCGAGCTCGGCCGGAAGACCGCGGAGTGCCAGGCCAAGCAGGTGCAGTGTACCAACCTCCGGCGTGACCTGGACGAACGGGAGCTCGCCGTCAGACGAGCAGACGAGAGCGTGGAGAAGGCTGAAGAGCGGGACGAAGAGCTCAAACGCACCGTCCACAGCCTCGAGGCTCAGCTGCAGTCCGCAGAGGCCAAGGCTGATGCACTTCAGGCCAAGGCTGATGCACTACAGGACCAGGTCCGCGACCTCAAGTCTCGGCTGCAAACCGCAGGGGACAGGGCTGACACAGTGCAGGGCCAGGCCCTGTCCGATGCTTACAAGCGTCTCCAGCTCGAGGACGAAAATAGTGTCAAGGTGGCGGCCGATATTGAACAGGTAAAAAGGGAGGTGGAAAACCTCCAGAGGCAATCGGATGAAGACTCGGCCATGCTCAGGGAGAAGCTTTCCAGCGCAGAGCGGGACCTGCAAGACATGCGTGAGCAGTGCAAACGCCTCAGGACCAACCGAGGAAACAGAGAACTCGAGTCGAGGCAGGGGGACGATGCCAGACGCGAAAAGGACCGCGAGGACGTCCCTGCCGAGGGAAGCCCCTGGAAGGCATCACTGCACTGCGTGTTCCAGTACCTGGCGGGTCTCAAGCCGGACCGCTCTGGCAATTACGGCCCTAACTTCAGGGCCATTGACGACGAGAGGCTGATGCGGCCGCTCACATACTTCTTGGCCAAGGAGGACAAACGAGATAGATTCACGGCATTTCTGGGGGCCGGCTCCAAGCCGGACGGCTGGTACTGCCTTGGGTAAATCTGTAGCGTGGGCCATGGCGGCCTCAGGCCCGTGGACGGCAAGTGCCCATCCCATGAATACAATGACTGTCAGCTCCAGGTGAGACATCTTGACGCATCTTCGGGCGGCCACACCTTAGATTTTAGGGTTCCGATCCCAGATGACGTTGATGATGATGATGACGATGACGATGACGTTGACGATGGGGATGCGCGATAGGTAGTTAATACCATAATATAACCGCTTTCCTGTCCCTCTATGTGTACTCATTTAATTTGTGTGATTGATGCAACCAACCGTGTTCGTCGCCGTGATAGGTCAAAATCTGGGTGGGAGGCATGGTTGTTAAGTCATGGTGGCAAGGTTCGGGCACGGACGGTCTACGGCACAGGTTTGAAAGGGCAAAAGAATTATGAAACCAGTGAATTGGTCTATCTAAATGTTCATCATCTGCCATATGAGGTCTGGTGGCTGCAGTTGCAGGTCGACGGCGTCGTGGCCCGGCTCGGGCCCGACCCGCAGCGTATCCAGACGGTGCATGGAGACCAGGGCCTTGTCGACAAACCGCAGGGAGCGGGAATCTATGTCAAACAACACGGCACTTTTCCAGCCCCTGTGCGAGCACAGCCCTACGCTGTCGCCAAACAGCCGACAGAGGTCGTGGCGGCGAAGGTCAACCTTTTCCCGCAGGATGTCGAAGACGAGCGCACAAGGGTGCTGCTCGAGCCAGTGCGACAGCGACCTCTTGTGCTCTTGCCAGGGGGGGTCTTCTGGGACCTGCCGGCCGATTCGGTGCTCGACGAGCTCCATCAGCTGCCAGAATGCGAGTGCAAACTCGACCTGGGTGTGCGCCACCTCCCGCAGGGCCACGGCGACCTTGTCAACGAGCTCGGTCAGGATGCCCATCGGCATCAGCCGTGTGCTCGTGCTGCCGACGCTGGTGATCAGGCCGGCGAGGACCGCCTGGGATCGCTCCGTATTGAGCTTCTTGGAGGCTGCCTCTCCCAGGAGAAGCACGACATCCATCTGCAGGCTCGCGTCGAGTGACGGCGGGCCTTGTGGCTCTCCTGTAGCTACCGCGAGGTCGGCCGGGATGCCGTTCCACGACCGGAGGATCGCCCACATGTCAGGCGCCGCGCTCGTGCAGATGACGGTTTCATTCTTGTAGATGGCCCTGACGAGACCGCCGAACGCAATGTCCCGAAGCTGAACCCGGCCATGTCGGCGAGGAACAAGGAGACCTGGCGGTTGTTCTCCGCGATCTCCTTGGTGCTCGCCGAGCTGGAAGCCTGCAGGCCCACGAGCTCGCCCTCCAGGGACTTGATCCTTGTCTCGTGGCTGTCATTGAGCTCCTGCATCCCGGACAGGTCGTCCAGCGCCTGCTCGCGTCCCTCCCTGGCGCCGTTGAGCTCCTGTTCCATCTCCTCCAGGCGCCCCTCGGCGCTTCTGAGCTGGCATTTGCTCTCCTCCATTTCTGCGTCGAAGTTGACCTTCGTGATGATCGCCTGGCTTTTCAGGTCCCCCACCTCCTCAGCCTGCCGCTCGATGGTTGCCGACTTCTCATCGAGGGTGTTGTCCCTGTACGTGACGAGCCGTTCGAGCCTGTCGACCTCGTCTCGCAGGGCTTCCTGCTCCTCCAAGGTAGCCTCGTGCTGTCCTCTGAGACTGGAGAGATCATCCTTAAGCCTTCTGACCTCTTTGGACTTTTGGGAGAGGTCGCGACCCGCCTGTCGCTGTTGGCGTTCCTTTTCTCTGAGGTTCGCATCTGCCAATTGTTTGGCGCTGCTGGCCAGCTGGAGCTTCCACTCGGACTCCCCGAACTTGAGCTTCAGTTCCCTGGTCGCCTCCTCGAGCTCGGTGACCCTCAGCTCGGCCTGCTTGAGCCCGCCCGACGAGGCGGCCATCGTCTTGTTGCTGGCGCGCAGCTCGTTACGCTCCTTTCTCAGCCTGGCCGCCGTCTCCATGCTCAGCTCTAGCTGGTGGTCCTTCTCGGCAAGCTCCTCGTTGGCCTCGTCGAGCCCCTGCTGCTTGTCCCCGAGGATTGCTTCTTTCTCCCTGGCAATCTCCTCTGCCTGGTCGCGGGCCTCTTGCATGTCTGCCCTGGCCCGCCCGAGGTACTTCTTGCTGTCATCCAGCTTGGCCCTGAGCCGCTCGGCCCTGTGCTGGAGCCTTCCGCGCTCGTACAAGCTCTTGCGGAGCTCGGTGTCCTTACCGGAGATCTCGCTGCGCGCCTTGTTGTTCTCAGACCGGAGCTCATCGACCTGCCCTTGCATGAAGTCGACGACGGACTGGTGGTTGCTCTTCAACTCATCCACGGCCTTGGCATGGCTCACCCTGGACGCCTCGTGCGCTCTCTTCTCGCTCTTGAGACTGCGCTCCAACAGGTGTATAGAGCCCAGCCTGCTCTCTTGCGTCGTGCTGTTCTTCTGCATCAACGTGGCCAGCTGCTCACGCATGGACTGCACCGTTGTCTCGTGGTTGGCCACGGTCTCCTCGGTCACTCTCAGGTCGGCCCTGACAGAGTCCAGCTCCCTTTTGTACCTGGCAGCGCGGTCCTCCTCGGATGACAGCTTCTGCTCGAGCCCACGAGCACGGTGCCCGAGCATGTCGAGCTGATCTTTCATCGTTGTTGTGGCCCCTCTGGCGTCCTCCAGCTCGTGTCTTTTTGTTTCGAGGCGCTTCTTCAGCCTGTCGACCTCTTTTCTTGCGGCTTCGAGGCGGCTCTCCGCCTCCTCTCTGCCCTTGGCATGTTCCTCGACCCCCGAGACCTCCTTGTCGCACCTGAGCTCGAGGAGTTTGACCTGCTCTTGTAGGTCCTCCAGCTGCTCGTTGTCTACGTCGCCGCTGCAGATCTGCGTCTGGCGTGTTGCGACGAGGTCACCCGAGAGGACATCCTTGAGGCTTGGGAATTTCTCGAGCGCCGCGGGTATGTCGGTGACCACGAGGGGGAGTAGCTGCAGGACGACCGCGCCTATCGTGGCCCTGCTGTCCTCGATGGCGGAGGGCGCTGCGTCGGGGGCGCTAATACGAGCCTCCGGAGGGCCTCGACGTTGCTCTCGAGGTCGTCCTTGACCTCTTCGCAATTCCTTTCGAGCTGGTCCTTGATCTGTGTGACGGCCTCCAGGCGGGAGACTGCCCCTCGCATCGCGTCGACATCGGGGTAGCCAACGCGCACGGCGAGGTCCTGTCCCCGGCCAAAGTCCTCCTCAAGCTGGCGGGCGATCTCCTCGCCCTCCCTGAGCTTGTCCTCCGAGGCAGCGATGTTTCCGACGACCTCCCTGGCGGACACGAGGCCGCTGATGGGCTTGAATTTGTGTTCGGTCATTGTGAAATGGGTTTAATGTATGTTTTACACGCGTTGTATTAATGATATTTGGGTTGATGATATCTTGGTTAAGAATAGGTGATCGCGCGCGGTGTGCTCCAGAAACCCCCCTCTCCCAGCTTGCGCAACGCGAATGGAGGTCATTGACCCAACCGTGCCGGGACCAACTTGCTTACATAATCATACCACGCTGAAGGGGGGAAGGCCAGCAGCTTGTCCTTAAACCTCAATAGCTCCTGCGCCCCGCGAGACGGTGGCTGGAAAATGGGACTCTGAGTAGTTACGAAGCGTGTTAACATGTGTCTATATATGTTTGTCTATTTCTTTTCGTCGATTTACAGGCAGCATGCGGCTCAGCCTGACGGCCCATCCTGGGTGCCGGTTGGGGGTTGACTATGTCGTGCTTAGTAAGCTAAATCAACTTCATGTCAACCGTGAGCATGTCCCGCCAGCGATGGATGTGATGCCAATGGCGCTTGATATCTGACTTCTCTCGCCTTGAGGAGGCTGCACAATTCAAATCTACTCCCATCCACGCTGTGTCTATAGAGCTATGAATCCAGGTGCGCAGAACGAGTAAACAAAGCATGTTCGATCGAGTCAGCCAACGTTTGAAGGGCTTGTCCCAGGATGAGCATAGAGAATCAAACAGTTAGAAATAATCCACAGGACTTGAAAACATCTCTGACCAGCTGTAGGCCCCCACGGCGCCGAGGTAGGCGGTGGGAGGTCGGACGGTAGGCTCTGTGGCTCTCGTCTAGCCCCCCAGCTGCACCCAGGTAGCTTTTCAGCAGAGCTTTGTCCACCCCCAACGAAGCTCCTAGGCTGCAGCAGCACCGTAGGACTTCAGAGCTGCCAACGCTGCAAGACTCAAGTTGACAAAGCTCCCCAGCCGACAACCCATCGCGAGAAATCCACCGACGACCCAACGACCGACCGACCCACACACGCACGCACGCGTGCACACACATACACACACACATACACTCACACATACACACACACATACACACACACATACACACACACATACACATACACATACACATATACATACATAACGTCCCCGGCCCCGATTCTGATTACCCCCTAATCCTAATCACCCCACACCCGCGTACGCGCATAAACGCATCTATACCCATCATATAAACACTCCTTAATAACGTAGTTTACTAATAAGTGGCGGATATTAATAAGTAGCGGATTTTTGTAACTTTACTTAACTTTAGTTAATATTAGCATTATCTTAAGGTTAATAAATAAATAAAAAGTTAATATTAATTAATATTAATTGCTTTTAATTCCTTATTTTTAATTAATTTAATTAATTTAAAGTAATTAATATAAGTATAATATAAGTTTAAAATAAGCAACTTTTAATAAGAAACCTGCATTTTATATTAAATAATATTAACTATATTATTAAAAACGTAATTTATTATAAACCATTAAAATAAATATATTTGCATTATTTAATGCTAATTAAGCTAAATTTATTATAATATAATTAAAATTTAATTAACTTAACTTTTCTTTATTTTTTTTATAAGTTTTTATATTATACTTAATCTTGCTATAATTATTATATTATTATTTAATTAATTTACTGCAAATTACTTCCTTAGCATTATTATTTATTTTATTAGCTAGCTGCTTTTCCTTTTATTTTTCTTAAATAAAAGCTTAAGATTCCTTAATAATAAGTGCTTCTTTAAACTATATTTAGGTTTTTTTAATTTTTTAATATTTAATAAATGCTATATTAATATTCTTAAGAATATAAACTTAATTTTTTAAAATAATAAGTTTATATATTATTATTTATATATTTTTTATTATTTAATTAATAGCTTTTATAATTAATATAAAGAAGCTTTTTTAATAATTAAAGATTTTACTTTTAATAAAGCTTAATTATTTAATAATTTATTAAGCATTAAATAATATTTAAAACTTTTAATATTAAAAAGAAATAAAAAGGGTTTGCATAAAAGTTTATAAGCATATATTAAGCTTAAAATAATAAAATTTAAGTTTTAAGGCAAAATTCCAACTTCTTTAAATATTATCTTAATATTATTCTTTATAAAAATTTTATTATAAGTTATTATAAATATAAGAAAGAACTTAAACTTAATAATATAATTAATAAATACTTAAATAAAGAAATTAATTTAATTATTATATATATACTTTAAAGATAAATATAATATAATATTTAATAATTAAAGTAAATTAAAAAAATATAATAATATATTAATAAAAATAATATTATTATTCTTATAATATTAATTAAACTTAGCTAATATATAACTTTATTATGAGCTAGCCTTGGGTTGTCTGCCATAAGGTGCCTAAATAAGGGTTTATATTTAAAGTATAAAGGAAAAGATTCGCTCCCTATTTATACTTGCATTAAAGCCTATTTTTATAAAGTTAAAGCCCATTAATTAATTATAATAAGCAAAGCCTAAACCATAATATATCCTCCTTTTCTAGGTTTCCATAGCAAGCCTTAAAGGGCAGCTATATAATAAAAAATAAAGAACATTATAGTTTAATTGCGAATTAAATATTACTCTTTACCCAACCATTTAATTACACCCTAGCGCCTTTTAACTATATTAAAAGCTTAACTTATTATTTATAATTAATACGCCTTAGCCCTTATAATTTAATATATTAATTAAAGCAAGCTAATAAGAAATAATTATTTAAGCATAAGCTAATAGCTAAATTAATAGCATTCTTATAATCCTTTAATATAAGCTTTTTATATAAGCTTCTTTACTTAAAATTTTAAAATTATAAATTTATTATATAATTTATAATTAATTAACGCTTAATTATAAATAATTTACTTTATTAATAAGAATTTCTTAAATTTTAAGCATTTTTATAACGCTAAATTAATTAATATATAATTAGCTTGCTTTAAGTTTAAGCTAGCATTAAGTTAATAATATTTTTAAGCCTTATCTTATAAAAAAGTTTTTACGCCCCCTTAAATAAACTCCTCCCCTTTACTAACTTTAATTAATAAAAGCTATACCCTTGTTTTTTTTATAATAATTTAAATAATTATATTTATAATAATTAAATTAGCTATATATAAAATACTTAACTTTGCTTATTAAAATTATTATAATATTAATATTTATTGCTTTATTATTTTAAGGTTAAATATTATTCTTTTTTATTATAACATTAAAAATACCCTTATATTATTATAAGGTAAAATAAAAGGCCTTAAATATATTTAATTACTCCTTATAATTAAGCTAAGCTTTTGCTATAAAGGTTAAGCCATTAATTATTAGTAATATTTTATATTTATTTAGCTAACTTTAAGCTTTTATTATATAAATTAATTAATTAAATTAAGTAAGAAATTTTATTATTTTCTCCTTATAATATTATTATAATGTAATTAAGCTAAGCTTAATATATCTTTACTTAAAATAATCTTTAAATATAAAGCAAACTTTTTTTAAAAAACTTTTTAATTACCCCTTAAATATCTTTATAAAATTAATATAAGGTAAAACTTAATTATAAAAAATTCTTAATTAATTAAATATATAAAAGAATTAAGCCCCTTTAACATTAATTACCTTCCTATTTATTATAAACTTAGCTCTTATCTTTATTAATTAAATTGCTAAGTATTTTTAAGATAAAAATTCCTTAAGATAAGGAAGGACTTAATAGGCTATTATTATTCTTTTTAAGTTTCGCTATATTAAGTTTTATATAGTTATATTATAGGTTTATAATATATAAGGATTTTAAATATATATTATAAGCTAGCCTTAAGTTATTTATTATAAGGTGCTTAAATAAGGGTTTATATTTAAAGTGCAGAGGAAAAGGTTTGCTTTCCATTTATATTTATGCTAAAGCTTATTCTTATAAGGTTAAAGCCCATTAATTAATCATAATGAGCAAAGCTTAAACCGTAATAAACTCTTATAATTATTTAATATTAATATTTAATATATATTCTTTATTTATTATTTAATATATTTATTAAAATGCTAAATTTATTTTAAATTTATTTTATTATTTATTTATTTATTTAAAATAAGTTTAATAATTTAATTATTTAAGAAAGTTAACTTTATAACTTAGCTTATAAGATAATAAGTACTTTAAATAATTATAAATAATAAAATATATTATTTTTTTATATTAATATATTTAATAATTACAACTTATTTTTAATTATTAAGTTAAATTAATTTAACCTTTTTATATTTATTAATATATATAATTATTATTAATATAATAATTATATTTATTATAAAGTTAATTTTATTAAAGTTATAAAGATTATTATTTATAATCTTATATTTAATTATTATATTATAAAGCAGCTTAAATTAATTCTTAATAATCTTTAAATCTTTATAAAAAGTTTTTTTAATAATTATTAAAATAATTAAATTTAATTTTAAAGGTAAATTATAAGTTTATAAAGTATTAAGCTTAATATTTATTAATAAGTTTAGTATTATATAATATATAATAAAAGATTAACTATATTTTTTATATTAAAAAGTTATAAAGAAAATTTTTAAATATTTTATTTAATAATATATTAAATAAATATTTACTTTTTAATTTAATTAAATTTATATATATTAATATATAATTCTTTATAAAAGCATTATTAATTTATTTTATAATAAAGTATAATTTTAAAAATATAAAAGATCTTAATAACTTAAGTTATAAGTAAGGGTTTTACATTATTCTTTTTAAATTTTTAAATTACTTAAATAATTAAAAGGATTTTATTTTTTTAAATAAAGAATATATTAATAATTATTAACTTTTAATATATTAAATATTTAAATAAGTAAATTAAAGCAAGATTAATATAAAAAATTAAAATATAATTAGCATTAAAATAAAATCTTTTTATTAAAAGTTAATTACTTTAAACTTTAATATAATTACCCTTAATTACTTTAAATTAATTAAATTAATTAAAAATA